ACTGGGCAAATTGTGAAGATTTTCTTCCAAAATTTTCAGACAATTTTTTTACACAATTTTATCTAAAATATAAGAAAATTTCAAGGAAACATACGCATGGGTGTCGTCAAAAATACATGTTTGGCTATGGGAAATTTGGCAACTACTGAATGTTCATACGGCGTTCTTCCTTAGCACGGCAGTGTATAGAGACTCATGGACCCCAGCTAAAGCGAAAGCACTCCTTGCTCCTTGACCACTTATTTTGATACCTGCAATAAAACCATATTTGTACCTAGTGAATTAAATTCGAGCAGAAATTAAAAACTAAAAATTAAAAGAGGATTTTCCTTGTAATTCCTTCATTCCGGTAATTTAAGCTTAGTCTTCATAACCGTTCTAGACCCTAGCTATCTCTTCATTTCCAAACTTAAAAACTTATCATATTCTGTTGCAATATAAAAATATAAGCCGTGATGCGTAAGACTTAACGTTGGGCGTGTCGGACACCCTTTCCACCCCTTTCCACCCCTTTCTACCCCTTTCCACCCCTTTCAACCCCTTTCCACCCCTTTCCACCCTTTTCCCTTTCCTTTTTTTGCTTTATGCGCACGTTCAGTCCGCAACCGTTTCTCATACAGTGCTCCCACTCCACCCTCACTTTTCCTTTCGGTTTTGGCCATTTTCTCTTTGTCTTTTTGCCACTTCCACTCCGACCATTTACAGTTATCCGATCATTTCAGGACAGTTTTCTCTGGGACTTTGCGACACGTTATTTTGTGCCACATTTTGCTCTCAATTCATTTCTTCTTTAATTTCTACTTTTGTTTACTTATTCAGTGATTCAAGAGGCCCTCTTCATAAAATTGTTTTCTTTTCCATGGAATAGTATCACTATAATTGACTTCCTCGATAATTCTGAACATATACTATCAATATTTACATACTTTAACTCTTTCTATAGGATCTACCGAAAGTGAACGAACCGCCTCGCCCAACAATCATTACTCAGGTGGAGATTGTTCATTTAGAGCTTTTTCTAATTGTACGCTAGATTAACCCACAAGAGGGCGCCAAATGTCCTCGGGGGTTGGGCCGCGTAGCGGGCAGGAGGCGCAGCTCTCTGACCTGCAACAAAATTTCATACAAGGACTAGAGATTCCAGTCCCGAGTATAAAAAAAGGGTGCTTAATCATTTTGGTGCGCCCCTGGTTGTTTGCACGCATCCGTGTAAAATAGACATCATATGAGTGTAATCCAATAAATTTGGCAGCAGTGAAAGTGGGCAAGAATTGCCGGCGGCCGATAGACGCTGCCATGCCATGCCTCGCCATGCCGTGTCGTGGCTATCGCGGTAACGGTCCGCGAGAGGAACGAGGCAAGGCGCGAACCGGCGAACCCCTTGAACTTGAGCGGTTGACTCGGTCGCTGGAAGCTGTGCTGATCGCCGCTGCTGCTGCCGCTGTGACATAATCCCTCACCTGCCACCTCGATGGTCAGCTCCTGGGACAACCTAATCCGTTCTTATTATGACTTGCCCCCGTTTTTACACTTCTTTATCGTGACGCCATCTGATCGACGCACCGCTTTTCTTGGTTCATGAGTCGATCGGCAGTGCGCTTTCAGGATGAAGTGGATGGCATTTTGCAAAGAGGAACCATGGAGCATTGCATTGTTGCTAAGATTGTGCAACATCTTTTGTCTTGGATGAAAAACCTGATTATCTTTTAACAGTTTCTATTTTACTCCCTGAAACCTGTAAATTTAAGACAAAAATTACCATATAAATTGTATACTTTTTCAGGATTGCAATAGTTTTATTACAAAGGATGAGGTCGCACAATCTTAGCAACATTGCAATGCTTCTGGTTCCTTTTTGCGAAATGCAATCCAAGTGTGATAAGCACACTGTCGTGTTGTGATGTAGCAGTTTACAATTACTGTACCTTCGAGCCTCTCAGTCAAACTCTTTTGCAAGTTGATGGGTATCTTGACGTACTCGTACTGATCTTGGCTTGGGGCTGTGTTCCTCGTCGTTCCTTGGACCGCTCCAGTGGCGCAGCGTGCTTTGCGATATATCGATTGATCTGCCATTTAAACCTATGGAAAAGGATCGATAAACAGGGTGTTCGCGATGAACACTTTAATAATGGATTTTTTTCTACAGTTTCAAATGGGGGAAATATCGATGATAATGATTCACGCCTCGCCACTGAACGGCTCCGTGCCAGAGGACGTAAAGAGGACTCTTTTGCACTGAAAAAAAAAAAAAAACACATTGGATCTGGAGTCCAGACTCTTAAAGACGTCGACAAGAAAAAGTACTCTTGATTCAATCAGAATCTAGCTTAAATCAAGAACCAAGCCTCTTAATTTCGTTTTGAGCGGATTTCGTTTTGATTCAAGCAAAAATCCGATTCAATCAAGAGTATTTTTTCTTGTCAATGTCTCAAGAGTCCGGACTCTAGATCCAATGTGTTTTTTTTCCAGTGTAATTTAAATTGTGATTACGGTAGTTTTAAAGGGGTCCTCAACAAAGTATCATGAAAAATATGATTTTAACGAATTTCAAATAAAATGCAATAGCGCAACTTCAGAAATAGATCCCTGCAAGAGACCACAATGATTTGCTTTGATAAAAAAAATCGAAAAATACAAAAGAAAAATGTTTGCAGGTTTTAAAAATTTTAAGGTAGGTTTGTATAATCTTCAAGTCGGTCAATAATACAATTTTTTTACATTTTTGCAAATGGATATCATTGTTAAGCATTGCAAGAGTCTATTTCCAAGGTTACAACGTTGACTTTCATTCGATGTTCGTTGTAATAGTTCTTTTGCGATTTTAAGGACTCCTTAAGCCTTCCTTGATCACAGATACCGTGAAAAGCCTCCTTAAGAAAGGAGGTGTTTAAGGAATGACTATGATTACGACCCTCCAAGAAGCTGCTCAGTCAAAAGAACGGTAATTCTCACGGTTCTAAGCGAATGTTTTTGGAGACTTAAACGCAAAGGTAGAAAAATAAGGGACTAAAGATGCGCAACTTTTAAGAATATTGTGTAGGATTTGTTAATGCCCACTTCCTATTTTAACGACGAACACCTCATACCTTTATTATCTCTTATAATGCCTATACATCAATAGTATCCAATCCAAGTTCACGACGCCTAGTTCCTTCTTAATGCGTATTGTTACCGCTCTCATGTCCCTATGTGTTTTTTCTTTAAATTTCAAGACGATTTAAGCATGATGTTTAGACACGCGCAACTAATACGTTGGTGAGAACGTAGACCAGAGAGGTTAAATGAACCTAAATATACACGAATATCATAGATGCCACCAAGATCCAATGAGATCATAGATCCAATGCCTTCCATCCTCTTCAAAGAGCTAAAGTCTCATGAATGCCGGACGTAAAGACTCACTGAGAAAAAACTATGGCTTATAAACCTATTAGAGGTAAATATGGAACACCACTAATAGTAGTACCTCTACATATAATAATAGCACATATACCTTAGTTATGGTCTCTGTACCTTAATTAGGTACAGAGACCTTAGTATGGTTCACAGACCGAGAATCATTAGTTTATTTACGACTATTATAGGTGTTCCATATTTACCACTAATAGGTTTATAAACCATAGCTTTTTCTCAGTGTAACGCTTCGAAAGTATTTATATCCAAGTAGTAATCTAGTAGTTAATCTAGTTATTTTCCAAAACGTTTTAGACCACATTCACAAGAGTTGATGATATAGTAACCTCGTGACATCATACTTAGCCATCAAATGAACCCCCCAACCCAACCCTCCTACCTTTTTTCATACCAATTCTCGTATAAGTTCTTCTAATTATTCATATTGGAGTGTATGTTCGTTTGTTGGGGTACGTTTCGAATTTTGAGACATGACACGATATCGAGATGTGACATCAAGTAAATGCGTCTATAGCGACGCACTGAAGTCACCTGTTAAGCGGTGGGAATCTTCATCTAGGAACGTATACACGAGTCAAAGTTGTCGGTCATCCGGGAAGCAGAGGTGAGCTGCCCAATGGCGTGGCGTGCTTTGCGATATATCGATTGATGTGCCATTTAAATCTATGAAAAAGGATCGATAAGCAGGGTTCGCAACGCACACTTTAATAATCGACGTTTTACCAGAGCTTCGAATGGGGAAATATCGATAATCGATCATTCACGCTGGAGCTGCCCACTGTGTCCTGGCCGGAAGCGCGGAAGATCCGAATGCCTGAGGCCGTCGCGCGCCGCACCATGCCGCGAGGCCGCCGCGCAGTGGGTCGAGTCAATAGAAGAGGTCGAACAAAATTTGGAAACTTTCAAAGCTTATAACTCCTTTCATAAAAGATTTTGAGGTTCTAAAAGTGGTTCCATTGGTTTCCTCGTGAAATTTTCTTCTAGAGGCACCTCATAAAATTAAAAATGTGACGAAATACACATAAAAATCTGCAGTTTTAGTTAAGAAATTAATGTCCGACCTCTTTGATTGACTAGATCCTCTGTGCGCCTTGACCAGAGATGCAAGGATGCGAGCACGTAACCAACGCGACGGCCGATCGCAGCTTCGCAAGTTTAGCGGCTATTGAACTGAGACCTAGACGGGGAGTTATACATTGAACCAGCCGTTTAACGGGATCAACTCCACAGACTTTTTCCAGCTACCACTACTGCCAACCGTTGTCAAACTGAAAATAATTTCCCACCAGCTCCCATTCCTCCGGTCTTTGAATTAATATCAGTTCAATTTGGTGGGTATGCCGGTCATATTAAAGTAGAATGCAGTTTTTTTTTTTCATTCAAAGGAGGTGCAGAGAATGTTTTGTAAATATTCAAACAGTGTTTTCAGTGCAACAAAGTTGGTTAATATCGTGACCTCAATCAGTTTCACTCTTTTGTGTTGTAATGAGTCAACCCCTTTTAATAATATGTCCTTTTTTGTGGTTCATTTTTTGGTTATTGAAAAATTTCCATTTTTCTGTTCACAGGTGATGCGAGAGTCTAAATGAAATAAAAACCAATATCAAGTCTCAATGTAAAGGTGAAATCACATTGCAGACATTGAGTTTCCAAAACTGTGATTCACCAATGATATGGCCCCCGGGTTCTCGACCATCCTCTCTGCAATCGCAGTTTTATCATTGATTTCTCGGACAAAAGGTGATCATTTGAAAATTATTTTGCTTCATTACCTGCAAATGAATATATCATTCTTATCTTATTCTCATTCATATGGACGGAATATTGCTGAATGAACCATACGCTTAGGGTATGCATCCTACCGAGTGCCTTCTGATTTAATTCATTTGCGCATAGTTTTTTCAGCATGAATACGTCCATAATTGTGTGTGAATTAACAAACTTGGTGCCCCTTTTGGAAAGTTCTGCTGATATGAGGTTTTTGTATTAACTGTTCTTTTTCCTTTTAATTCTCATCGGCTCTCAGTAGTTGTGTACACAATTTTTAATTTTTTTTACCAGAAACATTATCAAATCTAAAATTGTCTAAAGCCGAGACCGAAGTTGTTTTTCTTTTTCACTTTAGCTGCAAAATCTTATTTTTTAGGCTTGTGGCTTTATATCTGAAAACGTATTTTTCAAAATTTTAGTTTCTTTGATTTTTTTAAAATTCAGACTAGCTTTTGTAGCCGAGTCCGCGTAGCTTGGTGCCTTTTTTTAAAAAGAAAAAATACCGTTCACTAGAATTTCTTGATCTTTCTTGCATGTTGCCGATGACTAAACTTACTAAAATTTGGAATTTCTTTTGGTGACCATGTTTTTGTTTCTTGGGGGGCAGGTTATAAAATACTAGCTTTTTTACTCAATCGTCAAACTGAGGTATTTTTTCCAACCCCATCTCATTTTCCCCATTGAGCACCATTTCCATAGATTTTTCTCAAAAATGATGGAAATCATTGAGTAAGTTTTAATTTCCTCTCGAACCCTCTCCTTTCTCCCCCTTCCCCCAAAAAGTAAAATCCTTCAATTATCTAAGTAAGTAAAGGCTGATTAGCCGAAGTAACAACATAAATTATTTGTTAATTTAACCGTTCACTGAGTCATACCAGTAAAATCAGGTACAATTCTAATTTTTTGAAAATGCTGCCTTGTCAATTCATGTTTTTGCTAAATGACTGATGACTTTTTTCCTTTTTGGCATACCATTTGCTAGTGCAGAAATGTTCAAAGAATTTCACGCTACTGTCCCGTAACTTATTCTTGACTACTGCTGATAGCCGCCTGAGCGAAAACGGCGATTTGCTTTATTTTTTTTTGTTTATGATCAATTAAGAGACCCAAGTTCTTTCCGAAAAAGCATTGACCAAGATTGATTGATTCTAAGAGTCTAACCCTTTCGGTTTCCCACTGTATTTTTTTTTCTTCGATGAACGCTACGCGCAGTGTTCTAGCGGGAGGAAAGTGAATCCAGCATATGGTGGAGGCACGCATCATTCTTAAAATCGTCTCTTTCACTCTATGAAAAGTATTTTTAATTCAAAGTGTCTCACTGTAAACGGTAGGCAAGTATTCATATGCAACATTTTGAAAGTGGTCAAAATTTGATTTTATTTGGAAGAGCAACAAGTTAGAAACGTCATCATTTGCTGTTCGTTTTATGTAATTTTGCAAGTTTGGTAAATACTGAAATATTAAAATAGCAACGAATAGGTTTGCTTTTACAGCAATCAATAATGAAATAACACATCTGATAGGGTATCTTAGTTCTAATACAATAAAATATCTATTTTTGCCGTGAAGTAGATTATTTTACCATCCACTTCTGCCACAAATCTAGATCGGCAACATTGCAGCATTATCGTGAGTGCGGCAACATGGTGCTTGATTCAAAATTCACGCGAAACTAGTTTAGTGTGTTGAAATCTGGCACTAATTTATCGGTATGATGAGAGATGACAGATATTCTTAATTGAGTTGGAGTTTTACCAATGAAAGCGCATCAACCGGCATTCAGCACTCTGCACTCTCGTCCTCTGCTCTTCCCTGAAACCGCAGATCCGTTTCGTTCCAAATCTAGACCAACTTCGTTGTCTTGATTTTCAGACCCAATGGAGTGCTAACAAGAAGAATACCCGAGGATGTATTTATCTGGAAAAGCTCAAACTTTTATACTCTAAAAAAAACCCCACGGCAGTGGAAGTCGTGCTTGGCTGTATAGATATACCGCCCGCGTTCCGGGTCTAGAGGCCGAAAGTTCCGGGCGTAGCACCCGGAGCAGTCGAGAGTACGGCTCCAGCACCCGGAACTTTTGGCCTTTGAGCCCAGAACGGACGGTGTTGTTATATAGCCTGTAATAAACAATTAGAAAATGAGATGGGGTTGAATATAATGCAACATCTAGTTGTTGTTTTTACGGCGTTTTTCTTGAAGACGACAGATCAGTCCTACTGCACAGTTTTATCACGGCAAGGCAATGGGCCTGTTGAAAACTTTTGCTAAAACAAGAATAAGAGTTGTTTTTTATAGAAAATGGGTCAAAAATCATTTTGGCTCTAGCAGAAGTTTGCAACAGGCCCATTGATCTGACGACTTACAATAAGTTGAAACTCATTGCAATAAATACCACTTTACCTGACTTATGTAGTGACCTCGTTGACGAGACAAGTGTCAAAGTTAGCATTACCAATAATATTGTCTAGAGAAAGGGCTCCTTGTCGTGGTGTGTGATGTTTCTAATTTTTTTATCTGCAAGATTTTTGCAAGTTGATCTCAAAGTAAAAATTCAGTAAACTGTTTATTTTTTCTGCATTCAAGACCATTTACTATTCATTCTGTTTTTTTCTAGGGTGCCAATTTTATCCAATTGGTGAATATCTGCGGTTTGTTCGGGTGCCAGAAAACTTACCCGTCGGAGGAGAAGTACTACAGGTCGATGTCCATCCGAGAAGAAATCTCATCCTCCAACCAGTCGACAAGGTAGGTTTTTGATGATTGGGTTTTGTCACATCATAAGTATGAAATTAATTTATATATACAGTTTGTTACCAAATTATTCGCGAAATAAAGCAAAAACACGGAACAATCAGGAAACGGATTTTACAGACCCTTTTCCACTTTAACTTTGCATACCTTTAATTCTACAAAATTTAAGTAGCTATCTTCTCGGGACTCCTGCGGGCTGATTGTTGAAATTGATAGACAAAGAGATAGACAAAGAAGACAAAAAGGATATGGTGGGATCTTGGAAATTGGCGGAAGCGGTTGGTTGCCATTGGAGGATCCAGCAAATTGGCAACGTTGCTTTTCTCCGTTTAAACCTATGGAAATGTATCGATTCTCAGAGGGGGCAAGTGCTCCGACAAAAATCGATTATTTAACGTAGCTTTAAATGGAGAAAATCCGGTGTTGCCAAATTGCATTGTACAAAGGATGTGAGTAATAAACTAACTATCGGCAACCCACTAGAGACTCCATATAGTCAGTCCATCATTTGCCCCCTTAGTCTATAAAAACCACCCATTCCAACCAGTAGGATCGCTCCATACTCCCTATGTCCTCTTTGTCTATAGCTTTGTCTAACAATTTCAATTATCAGCCTGCTGCAAGAATGCTCTCGTTGCTGATTATCAAACAGCAACTGAAGTACAAGAAACTCCCGTAAGAAAGTCACAGAAAAATCGAATATAATATATTTTTTTGGAATCATGGGATTATGTATCTAAGTACTAACAACTCGGAGAAATTGACGAGTGCGAGAACACTTTCGGCTTATTGTTACAGGTGCATGATTAGAAAATTGAATAAATATGATAAAAAAAATTAAAAAAAAAAAAAAAAAAAAAAAAAAAAAAAACAGTGACAATACTTTGATACGGGGAAGCTGTTTATATTTGTAATTGCTTTATACGGATCTTATAATAAATGCAGAAATAGAAAAAGAATACAAACATGATTATCACGGCAAACTTTTTGAGTGGATCTGAGAATGTGACTCCTCCGTATTAACAGCATCAGCTCTTTTTTGAAATGAACTTTGATGAAGAATGAATAAGTAGGTTGGTACCAAAATCGAAAAAAAAGAAAACGGCTTAGTAACCCGATTGAACGATTAAGTACAAAAATTGAAACGCACCACAGAATGGGCCCAATAAGGCTAAAGGTAAGGGAGAAAACACGAACAGAAGTTTTCAGACCAATCGCGTGCCCATTTCCTCTCGAAAATAAAATTTAAAAAAAAAAAAAAAAAAAAAAAAAAAAAAAAAACACGCAAAAATGAGAATATGCGCGAACATATTAATCCCTGTTAAACCCATTTCGTAGTGTATTATTTCAATATTTCAAATGCAAAAACAGACTGTGATTAGATCTCGTAATATTTCATGTACCCTGAAGAATTCTCAGTCCGAGAAAAGTAAAGAAGGAAAGAATTACTCTTAATTGAGCTCGTTTTCAATTTCACTCGGATGAATGAATATTAAATCGGGCAAATTCCATCCGGCACTGAAGTACTTCGACCGTGTCGTTATGGGTGAATTGCAGCGAGATTCTCGCCTCGCCTCAAGTGCGCAACTAGTTTTATGGAATAAAATTGGCACCGTTGCTTGAGTCTACATTACTCTGAATTGCATTAGAGCTCAGTACCTGATTAGGAATTGATAGAATAAAAATTTTAAAGAATATCCTTAATTATTTCTGGGAGCTAATTTTTAAAGAACTTCGATGTAATTTTAGGATTTTCGTGATATACTGAAACCAATATCTTCATCTTCCAAATGTTCTTTAATAACTCAATTCTTTTTTTTCTAAAGAGGAGATTCCTTCTCATCAATTTCTCGACATTCAGGAACGCCCATCGGTAGATGATGGTCAAATGAACGACTGCTACTGATATGAGAGTCTAAAGTTTTCTCAGGAAACATTAATTACAAATTTATGAAATGATTGATGAGCCCCGTTGTCTGTATAACTTCACGATTTCCCCGGCTCACGTGAAAACGAAGTTACGTCTTTACGTCACACACTGGACCGAGTCAATAGGAAAAGTCGGACGAAATCCGGAAACTTCAAAAGCTTATATTTTCAAAAATATGAAACAAAAGTGTTTTTTGGGAGCCACTTCATTGGCTTTTTTGTGACATTTCCTTGCAGAAACACCCCTTAAAATTGAATTTGTGACAAAATAAACATGACACGGAAAAAAAAGAAGTAGGGGTAATGTCCCAACTGTTGGATGATATGGACATTTCCAATTAATTGTGGTATTACCCCAATTAATTGTAATACTATCCTAATAAATAATAATTGGGTTACTAATATAAATGTTGCGGTACTACCAAAATTAATTGGAAATGTCCATATCATCCAACAAATTGGGGTAGTGCCACAATTTTAGGAGATAACCCCTGACGCTTTTTTATCCGTGGAACATTTGAAATTTTAGCCAAAAATTTCGTGTACAAACTTTTCCATACAGTAGACTCTGGATTATCCAGATTAATTGGTGCCGGGCCCGATCCGGATGAAAAAGAAATCCGGATATTAATATTAAACACAAACACCACCAACCAACACCACAGTATTCTTATTATGTGTACATCATGTACATACCAACACGAATTTAAAAGTTAACGCCAAACTGAACGACTTAATGGTGATTGTGAATGGTAGCCGACAACGATAAATTACAATACAACGATTAAAGCGCGCAATGCGTGAAGTATTCATGCAGTCTTGTAGCCGCTAATGTGCGTTTTAGGCTAACTAACAGACTGCACTGCGTTTGGCGTAAGGCGAGAAGTATTTATGCAGTCTAGTAGGCGCTAATGCGTTCCACGCCGACCTCACTGTTTGGCGCAATGCGTGAAGTATTCCTTCAGCCTTGCAGGCGCCAATACGCCTTGCGACCGCTTCTCCGCGTATCCGCTCACTTATCGGAATGCGTACGTAGTTACATAGTTGCAAAATCGATCCGGATAATCCAGAGTCCGGATAAACGAAGCCGGATAATCCAGAGTCTACTGTACGCTCGTTCCATTGTGCTTAGGGGCAACGAATTATATAGGAGAGCTATCACGGTGTTCTTCTCAACAAACACGAACTTTTCTAATCTCCACATCATTAAGCAGGGGAAAAAAAACCTGATTACTCGCAATAATATAATTCGCGATCATTCAGGTCCTCGCTTTGCGTAAGAACGTCATGATAAGAGGTCAACTGAAACAAGAAAAAAACCAATGGATGAGCAAAGCAATGAGTCCGTGGATGAAGTAATTTCTGAGGGGAGCCTCACTCCTCGTTGGGATGGTGACGGCTTTCTGATGTTAACGCAATTTCGCTTGTTTGTTTTCCCATGATTGAGCGCTCACGAACTGCGGCTTGCCACGAAGCTGGGCATCGTCGCGGTAATCAGTCATTTCCCGCCTCCTGCCATCGACATTAAGATCCATTTTTCAATCGCGGCGACGATTGGTTTCCCTAATAAATCCGTTTGAACGTCGAAATTTCTGTCCGAGCTTCGTGGCCGTGGGAAAACTGTAAAAGCATCGGACGAATCGGAGGAATATTTATGACCAAGAGCCACGACACACTCTTAGAAAGTCTTTGTTGAGCAGGAACTTTTAGATTTAATTTTCGGAATGAAATTACTGCTAATTTCAACACATCAAATACCAGTAATGAGAGTTAGAGCACATCAACTGTTGGACTCTGCAGTCAATAGTTGTGTTACTGTTTAACATCTATCCAGGGTGGCTCTCACGAATACTGACCAAAAAAGTATAAATAACTAGGTCGTGATGTTATCAGGCATCGAGCTTGTAAATATAAATACCGTTATAATTGTTATAATAGTATTTGATAAATTCAATTGATTTAAATGAAAAAGTTCACCCATGATGTTAATTGAAGGAGGTATGGGAGAGTTCCATATACACACGGAAAATTACACAGTTGCTGCCATAGGGGGTGGATGTGGGGGTGGGGGTGGGGGTGGGAGTTGGAGTGGATATATCAGCGCATGGATTGGGAAGAAAGAGGGAAACAACTTAGGTTAGGACTGATGATGGAGCTATAAGCTCCGAAACGCGTCTCCAATAATTGAATTTTACCGCAAGTGAGTATACGAAATTTTATAAAATTTGTATCATTCTCTCCATTTTCTCAGCAACGGGCCCGTCTCTAAATTACGTAACGCTCGGAGGGAAAGGGGGACCGAGGAGAGAGTTACGCCATTTTGTTTTTGCGTGTTAAAGGTTAGGGACCTACGTCACAAAAGCGCCATCAGAGGGAGAGGTGGGAGGGACAAACATGCCGAAAAAGTGCGTTACGTAATTTAGGGACGGCCCCAAACAAGCAGATATGCACAATTTTTAAATGTAATTACGAATAAGTCACAGCACCCAAAGGAGAGACTTTACCGCAGCATAGAAAAAACAACTGCAGTTATGCAGGGGTCTCGCCGGTACTGTGGGTCTCTCATCCAATTTTTTGTTCATTTTTAAGTCATACAAACCCTGCATCATATCACCAGCTGCGTTTTGTTTTATTTTCTCTGTATAACGTAGCAATAATATTTATTTTTCCTGTTTCAAAAAGTTAATTGTATTCCAAATTCTGTTTCAGATCGACGATGTGGACTTTTTTAAATACCGAACGGTGAACAAGACCACGATATCCATTCGTTTGGTCAAGTCTCTGGAGGACCTTGTCGATAGTGCCACCCCTCAAAATGTGCTGAAATTTCGTATGGTGTGCGAATATGACGATGGAAGTGACACCGTAAGTTCTTGAGTCATCAACTTTTCCAAAGGACGTTACTCGTAGAATATAATTGTACCACATACAACTTTTGCTTTCCTTTCTATACATCGCAATGATCATGTTTCCGATTGAAGGAATGTTAATATGTCATTTTTCAAATTCTAAACGCGTGAACAGAGTTCAACTGACTTATCGACTACCCGATGATTATATGAAGCAAAGTTTCAGTTTGAAAACTATCACGACCGCTATGATCACACTCTGGTTATTTTCTGTGTTAGATACGGCAAAAGATGCTGAATTTGCCATGACTTAGCAGAAAAGATTAATCGTTCCTTCATAAATCCACCCCGGGGAGCGTTCAAATGCGCAGAAATAACAATCCCAAGCACGAACTGCGGCTCGTCTCGAGAACATGTAGCCATAAGTGGATAAGCTTATTTACACTCATATATCACTCGCATCCTCTCTCGCAATTTCAAGATCAATAGGGAGATCAAGAATACCGGTTCACAGTTCCGTAAGGATCTGTGGGAAATCCGTAAGGAAATTCTCAAGATTCTCCTGGTAAAAATGCAATTTATGTAAGGAAATTTGGCAATATTGAAATGTAGTTACGCTCTTTCGTGAAGGGAACGAGGAATTGAAACCCGCGAATTTCTGCGAATTTGCGCCGACAACGGCGGGCAGGTTCAAGTGCAGAACAAAGTGCATTCCGGTCAGGAGGCTCACGAATCGGCGTCGAGCTGGGGAGTCTTAAAAAGCTAGAAAACAAAGCCCCTACCCGCTCCAACTTTCTCGGGGACCTTGTGACCCTGGCGACCGACTTAAGCGCAGCACTCGAATCGCCCAGCCCGCGAGACATCGCTCTCCCGCGCCCAACAGAAAACGAAACTGGTTCCACGGACGCGCATTTTTTCGGAAACTGGTCATCGCAGCATTCGCAGCCCCCGCCTCGCCCCTGAATCAGCCCGTTGGCATGTCTCGTCGACCAGTGAAAGGTCCGCCTCCGGCCGAATCATCCGTCATTCAATCGCACTCCTGGGAGCTTTTGCTTCCAAATCTCATCAAATAAATTCAAAATCAATTTCCTTTACACAAGAAAAAAAACACATTGGATCTAGAGTCCAAACTCTTAAAAACATTGACAAGAAAAAGTACTCTTGACTCAATCAGATTTAAGCTTAAATCAAGAACCAAGCATCTTAATTTAAGCGGATTTTCTTTTGATTTAAGCTTAAATCTGATTGAATCAAGAGTCCTTTTTCTTGTCAATTTTTTCAAGAGTCTGGACTCCAGATCCTATGTGTTTTTTTTCCAGTGTATTACAATAAGCTATAGTTCGTCAAATTCAATGTTTTTAAAAAAAGAAAGGGCATGTTTTGTTATTTTACAGTGCTAACAGTCATATTTTTACTTATTTCATTGACTTTCGGCAGGAAACAGACTAGATACGTAATTACGGTTGATGACTCATATTTGAATTGCCAAAATAAGAGTTCATTTCAGTGAAAAAATTTACAATGGATCGTATTCGATACATGAAACAGGTGAGATTGTATCGATATCGATTGGCTCAATATGTAAACATAGCCTTAAAAGTTAATTGAGTAATCTTAGGGAATGGGTTTCTTGCGATATGTTTTTTATTCTTATGAGTAGAAAATGGTAATAAAAGGTGACATTGTTAAGGATTTTCTCATTTTCAGCCTTTCTTACTTAAATACTAAAATTTTTGTTTGAAGTTATGTTCTATCTTGTTGAACCAAACGAATCTCAGTCCAAAAATAGCTTGCGGACTAAAACGATGTTTTATCCGTCCACGGAAACTTGAGACTCAGATAAATTCGTTAATCGAACGATAGTTTCGGGAAGGCTTCTTTCTTCCCTCTGGATTGTTCAAAAACAAGTATATCAGTTCTTAAACAGCTTTCGTTTGTAAGAAACAGTTCTCAAAGCTCAAAATAATGTAAAGAATGTTAGTATACGGTGCTTCTTTTTCGACTGCTGAATTAATCTATTCTAACTGCCACGCGACGTAACTTTGAAACAGTGTAGACACAAATTTTACGACTAAATACCACACTGGATGTCATTAGCAAACCACGCAGTTGTCTAGTCGCATTCGTATAGGTCCATCAAAAAGGCAACAAGATAAAAAGAAGGCTGTGGGGGTTGGTGCACAATGCCGACCATATACCCGTGGATACAATTGAAATTTACAATGATAATATCATCAAAAGATCTTGCAGGTCCTCACAATTGGCTGAAACTTCGCAACAGTTGCTGGGAGACTACGGAGCAATTTTTTTTCTTCTTCCTGTATCAACGGCCCTAAACTGCGGTCAGTTCCTGAGCTTTTCAGCCAGCCGGCGATGAGAGATGACGAGGCCCGATTACGATTTTAGCCTCCAATCAAAACGGGACTAAACCCCTTTTACAGTTAAGCTCTGACTGTGCGTGTCCACTAAAATATTTATTACAAACGGCCGGACGCAGGGGCTAGCTAACCAGCCATACCGAGTTCATCTTCAGCAGTCAATGACTTCGGTTGTAATCGTTGCTAATGACCCATTACACTCTCGTTCGCTCTTTCAGACACTTTTATTCAGTGCCGTTGAGGTGCGTCAAAGTTCCGAGAAAACCTATACCTCTACGACATGAATTAATTTTGGATCTCAGATTCGATGGGACACTAATCTATTTTGTACCTTACATAAAAAAAATAGAGTACCAAATTTGTTTTCAAAATTTTAAAGTTAAGGGAATCAATTTTTCAAAAAAAGAAAAAACAAATGAAATTTTGCAAAATCATGGCACGGGGGAATGATTCAATTTTTAAAAACCCCGAAAATGCGTTGTTACGAATTCGTAACGCTATGCCATAGAGGATTAAGTTTTATATCCACTCAAACCAATAAGATACTCATCTACCCAGGGATTTTGAAAAAAAGAGAAAGAAAGAAAAAACACTAGACTAAAAATGTGTACAAAAAAAAATTAGTATTTTAGATGAAGTCCAAGAAATGTGATCTTAAAACGATCAACGGACAATCAACTGGAGGTTTCGCTCTAAAAACTAAATACCGAGAATGCTGGCTGGGGGGCCTCAAAGGTTGTGGAAACTTCCGCCAGAGCATTTGATCAAAGTTTTCGCGGTTAAGTGCCAGAATGGATTCACTGATTTATTTATGAATCTTAAGAATTACTTTATTCTAATTTCTATGCACAGAAGGCGAATGATTCAAAAAAAAAAAAAAAAAAAAAAAAAAGAAAGAATTACTTGAATCACGTGCACCCTGTAAGTTGGTATTATTTCAAATTTGTCAAAATGTGATCTTGGACATTTCACGTTATCGAGTGGCAAGAAGCCTTAAGGTTAAAGGTTATCAGCTCCAAAAATTTGTGAAAGTTCTTGCATGAAAGAATCGGGAATGCGATGCGTATGTTTGCCTGTTTGCCTAAGTGAGAATTGAGGCAAAACTTTTGCTTGGGCTTTATTTGAAACCCCTCCCACGTATTTTTCAAATGACCGTACCTGATCTCGTTTCTCAGTTTTACGAGGACATCTTATTTAAATCTCACGCTTGATCTCATCTTCATTTCATGGGTTTTAGGTATTCATGCGCATTATAAAATCTCCCCAAAACTGCTTCTGATCTAGTGATTTAGACACAGAGTATGAGAATCAAGGATCCCCAAAGTAAAGATCCTGTGATGGTAGCTGTGGATTTTGTTCTCTCATTGAGGATGTACACACCCAAAAACATTCGCGTCTTGATCCTCACCCAATTTTTCGCCCTTAAATATGCTCCGTAGAGATACTGTTCGTAACAAGAAAGTGTAAGATTCAATGGGATGGTGGTATTCACTAATTTTTTTTCACATAATCTCCCAATGATATATTCGTAATGTAACTCAAAAATTAGTTATTAAAATGTATTATTTGTATTCTACTCATCGCATCTATTTGTGCTTGAAACTGAATTCATTTCGCGCAAAAGTTTTCCTCTCTCTAAAACGATGTATTTTTTGCAGCTATTTTTGAACCTGATGAACGAATTTCTGGAATTGTTGCTTCTTCTTTGGAATGAAAGCCTCTTAGATCGAGAGTCCAGACTCATAAAAACTTTGAAAAAAAAAAAAAAAAAACATAAACTTGATTCACGCGGAGTTTAGCTTGCATCGAGAGCCCAGCTTCTTGATTTAAGCGGATTTCATTTAGATTCAACCAAAATTCAAGACCTATTAAGTGAATTAAGAGTATTTTTCCATGTCAGTTTTTCAAGGGCCTAATGGACTCTAGATGCAAGAGACTTTTACATCACTTTTTCCCAACATTTTGAAATTTTCATTTCCAATAAAGTACTTACCTGGACCTTACATTTTGATTCAATCTGAACAATACCGTGTTCATTTGATGATCATTTTTTTAATGGATTATCTTTCTCAGTCGTGTGGCTCGTAATTAGCGGGATTAATCTGAAGGTTTCCCATACTGAGTACCATGAAGTCTCTAGAGAGATCCTCATTTCCTGTTTTTCTTGGCTTTTGTGCAGATTTCTTCCTATCTGTCCGTCACCGTCTACGTGGAGGACGTGAATGACCATGAGCCGGAGTTCATTGACGCCCCGTACAAAGTTGCAGTTGACGAACTTACCCCGACAGGTAAGGCTCCGTGCTCGCCATTAGCGTCACATATCACAAACTAGTTGATCGGTTTAACTCAATCGATAGATTATTAAAGGCTCATTAGAGCACTGTTGGAAAATTCTCAAGAGGGTACAAACATTCTGAAACAATAAATAAAAATAGAGATAACAGAATTCTTCGAACAGAAGAAATTTTATTTCACAATAAAAACAGTTAGGATAATCAGAAAACCGACGAGGCATTCCTCTAAGAGCAAGAAAATATTGAGGGCAAAATGTTAAGTTCACTCCTATAAATCGACGGCGTAAGTCCGCAATCACGTATCTCGTTTGCTGTGTCCGAAAATCTCCGCCTCTGTTATTTTTTAAATGAGAATAAATTGACATCATTCCTTGAATCTATCCAGAATTTTCTTCGCACAGAGAGAAAACATCAGGCAGTTTTAAAGAAGTGCCGATGAGTAGTTTTCCGTTTAAAAGATAGAGTATAACAGGAAGTCTGCGACGTCGCAAACTGAGTTATGTGATTGCCGACTCACACCGTCGAAATGTAAGTGACAAATGATTTCAAACGTGCTACATGCGTGCTTCCATATTCGGGTGATTATTTAATTTTTGTTACTAGCGCACTGGAAAAAAAACACGTTGGATCTGGAGTCCAGACTCTTGAAAACATTGACAAGAAAAAATACTCTTGATTCAATCGGATTTTTGCTTGAATCAAAACGAAATCCGCTTAAATTAAGAGGCTTGGTTCTTGATTGAAGCTAGATTCTGATTGAATCAAGAGTACTTTTTTTTGTCGATGTTTTTAAGAGTCTGGACTCTAGATCCAATGTGTTTTTTTTCCAGTGCGCTACATTTTTGAAAGAAGACTTTTCATCACAATATTCATGTTTGTTATTTAGGCATAACCATCTTCAAAGGTATTCAAGCGATTGATAGGGATAAACCAAATACACCAAACTCTGACGTGCAATATTCGATATTGGATGGAAACGAGCATGGAAAATTCGCTCTGGAGAGCAGTCACCGGGCGGCTGTCGTTCTACGGAAGCCTCTCGACTATGACACTGGAGATCATCAGTTCATCCTCACTCTCATGGCCAGCGTGAGTTTCATGCTTTCAATTCATTAATTGCGTCATGCACATCGCCATCAGAGTAAATATTTGCACATTGCACTTAAAAGGTGATTCGATGGACGCCATATTTTGTGTCAGAACGGCATGCGATATATCGCATCAATTGGTTCCATTTTTTCAGCTACTCGTAATTTTTCTCCAATTTTGAGATTGCAATTCTGTTGTCAGGAGACTAAAGCACTCACTTACCAATTTTAACAAATAAATTCAACGTAATAAAGGCGTGGTTTTTTTAGAGAGAAAACATCGCATTCTAGTGCAGTTTCGATATCAGTATCAGGAAAGGAACCCGCACGAACGTTCTCTTGTAAAAGATTAAACTGTCCATTTTTTGGCAATAGCCGATGTGGCTTGGTTTCTTTCTACTAAACGCGGTTCAAATAAGGGCACAAATCAAGGGGAAGTGTTGTCTGTTGATTTTCCATTATTCACTGAAGTTTACAGTGCTAGCTTACAGGGAGGATGCTACTGGATCACTTATTTCCTCTCTTAGTGGAGTCGATCTCCGGTAATCAATCGATTCTTTACTATAGTATAGGTACCACCAGGAGAAAATGAGATTCATTGCGGCGCACAGTGTAACGATTCTTTGGGAGAAGTCGGATATGAAATTTTTGACAAAAATCGTAAAATTGTACGTTCATCTCGTCACAATTTTAATTTTAAGAGGGGTTTCTTATAGAAAATTTTACGAAAAAACTAATGAAACTACGTTTAAAACATCAACATTTCATTTTATAAAGATAAACGCTTTTACAGTTTTTAAATCATTTCCGACCTCTCTGATTAACTCGATCAACTGTGCGGCGCTCAGTATCCAGACTGAGTTAAATCCTCTTCTTTTTTTCAGGATCGTGGTTCACCGCCAAGAAACTCAACAACAACTCTAATAGTCACTGTCAATGATAACGATGATTTGAATCCAAAATTCACGAAAGACGTCTACAGAGTTCAAATACCTGAGTTTTACCCGATAACGGTAAGAAAAAGCAATGACCTACATCATAAATTATTTATCGTGTGTCCTCTCATGTAAAATGTTATAATCACTCTCATATGTTATTTCAGTAAACAAATTGCACAATACATTGTAAATATATGCAATGTCTAATGATTGCAAATCTATACGTATACAAAATGTCACCACTTTGCACAGGGTGCTTTCGGTTGGAAATCAAAACATTATTTGACCTTATTCATTAATTTCATGGCAAATTTTAGTTGTCACGCAGTCGTAAATAATTGTACATGTCACAGGAAGTGGTAACAGAATATTGGTATTCTGTTGAAATAAAGAGCCTTTTAAGCGCGCTCGTACATAGATACGCCCCTTCCAAACTTGCTGTACGCAACCAACTGTACAATATTTGTACGATTGTTCGAGTGTCACAAGCAGCACTGATTAATGCTCCCAGAAGGTACTTTTGCAGTGGTGGGAATGTATACTTTTTTGAGTTGAATACGCTTGTTCTCAATTCCAGTGTTTTTTTCAGCTGATTAAGTAAAACACTTTTATTAAATTATAGATTTCTATTATTTTTGGTAAAAGACGTTTCGTCGGTTGATTTGTTTGCGACAAAGCGACTTTGAGATCTACATTGACTAAATTAGAGTTTATTCACGAAACGGAAATGAGTTGCCTCAAAGTAAATGTTTTTATTCTAAAAAATGACGTTACTCGCATTATAAAGGCGCGCGCAAGTAAAAATTATGAAGTCAAAACAAAAAAAAAACCCGACGACGAAAAAACTAAAGAGAAAATCTGCAACTGATTGTGGAATCGTTCTTCCGCAAACGTTCTTAAGATTGGATGCACTGGTACCAAATCGTTCAGTAAAAAGCTGTGAGTTAACGTTATACCATAGAAATTCACGCCACACATTTTCTTCAATTTGACAACGAAGCCTCCGTAAGCTGTGTACCTTGCGGTGACTCTCATCTAATCGCTCTAAATGCCCAATTATCGCACTTCGGATCTCAGACCACAAAGATCGCCGTTGCTGCCAACCTTTGAGACAAAAGCGCTCTGGCCCGGCTTGAAAATCTCCTCGTCTGAGACCATTAGTCATCTATGCATTTCTGCAAAACTTTCCGGCTTCGGCGACTCCGCCGCCAGCGGTGATAAAAATCGGACCTCCTCATCCTTGCTCTGACATAATTGAATCAGAGTAACAACACAATCGCGTAATAAGTTCCGCGCACAGAAAAAAGGTCTGCGGGTCGTGGCGTGGTGTAAATTGCGCCGAAAGGTCCGGTTTCGGATGAAAATCGCCTCCGTCGCACTGTGGACCGGGTCGATAGGAGAGGTCGGACAAAATTTGGAAACTTCAAAAGCATTATAACTCCGTTTATACAAAAAAAAAGTGGTTTCGTTGGTTTCCTCATGAAATTTCCTTCTAGACACACCCCGTGAACTCTGAAATGTGGTGAAATAAACATCAAAATTTGCAGTTTCAGTCCAAAAGTTTCATGTCCTATCGCTCTGATTGACTCTATCCACTGTGCGTCGGGGAGTTAATGCCCGCTGGTTTTAACGGCTAACTCGGCGTGGTAACTATTCGCCGTCGGCTTACACTATTAAATGTTGTGCGTTGTGGCTTAGTAGTGTAGCTCCTCTTCAAATTTATCACTGTAGTGCCATCAATGTTCAGAAAATGGAGGCCTGCAGATTGCAGAAGTCATAATAAACTATGCGCATGCTTTTTCCCGTTATTTTTTTCCAATGTTGTATATGGAGTAGCCTCGCAGTACGTACCAGTACACTACCGCGCTAAGGAAGAACGCCGTATGAGACATCAGGCGTTGCCACATTATTTTCCCACAGGTCTAGAATTATTAGAAAAATTTGTGAATGTATCTCTTCCAATTTTTCGACGAACTTCGTTCGTAATTTGATCTAAAAAGTTGGAACATACCGAGTAAAATTATTCGTAACGTCCTTCAAAAATAAATATTTTCTGAGAGGGAATTTGGCAACATTCGAATGCTCTTACGGCGTTTTTACTTAGCACGGCAGTACTGCTAAGGTACAATGACCCTGTTAATATCTTGTAAGTGCACAAATCGGGCATTCACTAAAAGCGAAACTACTTGGACTTGCAGTATTTCAGAGACGCTAAAATAATCACGGTTTTTCCGGGGGTAAAAACACTTTAATTGAAAGGTTATGCTTGCTGAGGCGCCTGAGATAAATTCACGGAGCCTTTTCCTGTAATTCGCTTGTCCGAGGGACCAACTATGGAGCAGTGCGACAAGTGGCTCGTTCAACCTATAAATGTGTATCTATATATTGGAGACTTAAACGCAGAGGTAGAAAAGAGAGATTCGTTGATAGGCTGAGCATGCATTTGTCTTAGAAAATGCAGATTTATTGGTCGCTGATGATTTCGATCATCAGCGATGATTTTGATAAATTTTTATCTTCGTTTACATGGTATTTTGGTGATTTTCAGGGGAGGCGAATCCACCAAGAAATCAAATTCGAGCCACCGATTCATGCAGAGGATCAAGACCGAGCTATCAATGCATCAATTCGCTACGATTTAATTGCTGGAAACGATCGACATTTATTTTCGCTGGATCTCAAAAATGGCTCTTTATTCCTCGAAAAAGAACTGGATGTGGATTCTCTCCCGGGCAGCACGTTTACACTTCAAGTGAGTTGTTCGAGTTCTCGCAACAATTATCTATCGTGTGACAAATTTACTAAAACCGCGTATTACTTGAGCTCATCTTCTCAGTCAAAAAGCAGTGGCGTAGCGTCTTTGCGATGTATCGATCTATCTGCCATGTAAACCTATAGAAAAGAGTCGATAAACAGGGTGTTTGCAACGAACACTTTAATCGTGGTTTCTTTACCATCGCTTCAAATGGAGAAATAGCGATAATCGATAATCGATCATTCACGCCTCGCCACTGTCAAAAAGACGCTAGTTTCAATTTGCGATTGCTCTGCATTGTAGTTTCTAAACAAATTAGTACATCTTCAATCAATAGAGCGTAAAAACAAGCCGCTTAACTATACGTGTTTATTTGCGGTGTCATTGGAAAATATGTGTCAATATAGTCGGCCGTGTTTCCTTTGCTCAGAAGCGTTAAAGTAAAATAGATAATATTTTAGTTGCTTCATATTCTCATGGCGTTATGCTTGCTGAGCTTAGCAGTGCGATCTTTAGCAGTATCATGAAACTAGAAATTTGCTCGAAGTTGACTCCGTACATAGTTTTTAGATTGCATTTTCCACGTGTTTATTTATTTTTTAACTTGATATGTTCATATTTTGTATGGTATAAAAGTAAAGTCATTGCTGGAGGAAAGTAAACGTATGTTTTATTTCCGCTTGAATATGCGCATTATGCAAGAATGCTAATGAGCGAGGAAGACCCGATGAGCTAACGGTGAATTTATTTCTAGCTCCACATAGTCAAAAACAACCGGTAATAAAACTGGACATACATTTTTGATCCGAGAATTTTTCAGCCAGGAACTTCGACTCATTCTCAGCTAATCCACTCTCTAACGCCATATTTTATTAGAGAAACCTAACGTTGAAGACCCACGTAGTACCGCGGATCATGAAATTTCAACACTAACACGTCAATCCGTGCTGAATTTCTTCGAAACGAATCTCAGCATTTTCATCTAGTAGCTAGTGTTATTTGAAGTAATGCCCTTCGTAGATAATTCTCTGGCGCCATTTTTGGCATCTGAATTTTACGAGCAGCTTGCGAGTAATGTCTATAATTTACCTCCGATTATACTCTTCACTGTTCAATTTTCCCCATTCGACTCAACCTTCAACTTAGAACCTCATTTTAAGCAATGGCTTTCAAGCAATACTCAATTTTAAGCTATATACGAGCTTTTCTTTGAAAAAAGGATGGGTTTTCGGTGCAGAATATTACATGAGAGGCCGTACCACTAGGGTATATATATTTCCTTAGAATCATAAAACAATCGCATTTTGGGAGGAATATATCGGTCCCAGAATGGAGTGCGGAAGATACTCAGGGCCTTCCTTGGTTATTTGTTTATAGCTGTAAGGTATCGACTAAATCTTTCCGAGGGGAGGGATGGATGCCGTTCTTTTCTTGTCTCCTTTTAAAAAAATCTTCATGGCTTCCTTTTTCTTTTATTTGTAGGTAAGATGAAATCTGTAATAAAGTTTCAATCAATACTTTGAGCAGAATATGTTTCCGGTCAATAACTCAGCTGCGGAGTCATGTCATGAATTTAAGTGTCCATACTGTCTCTGTAGTTGAAAAAAATTACAGAGCAGGAGAGAGGCAGAATATTGGAGCACCCAGACTCTCTTCAAGCTATTTCATTCTATAACAACAACAGTAATTAGTGTTGTAAGCAGAATATAAACAAATCGTAAATTAATAACAGCAGAGTAGTTTATTACACATTGACACTGCATTTTACCCGGTCAACATCTACTCACTCTTATATAGGTTGTAAGGTTCCGGGGACTTCTTGTTTTATTAATAAAATGCGAAACTATCTATCTATAAAACCAAGTCTTAACTCTGGTTCAGCAGAAGTCCCATCCGGTTGCATTCCTGTTTTCTCATTACTATATATGTTATCCGGGAGTTCCGTATTGTATGACCACAGCGATGACCATTCAAATACCTCAGATGCGGCCAAACAGTGGCGTGGCGTGCTTTGCGATATATCGATTGTTATGCCATTTAAACCTATGGAAAAAGATCGATAAACAGGGTGTTCGCGGCGAACACTTTAATAATCGATTCTTTACCATAGGTTTAAATGGCATAACAATCGATATATCGCAATTCATGCCACGCCACTGCGGCCAAAATAAATGTGCCGTTCTTAGCCGAAGCACCCGCGAATGTGCTTGTGCATTTTTACGTATTGCCGGGTCTCTCTAAGATTTGACGATCGAGAAGGTTTTCTGTATGGAATGAACCTAGTTTCATTATTTTTATGATCTAACAACCGAGTTGCTGAATAAAATGCGGTTTTAACGTGACCATGGTCGTAAAAGTCATAGTTTTACTGCCATCATAAATTAAACATATTGAGCTGCATAGCTTGCTTCAGAAAAATGATACCTAAAAAAATATTTTCAAAAAAAAAATATCAAGTTAGGATTGGAAAGGAGTAAGATGAAAAGTAAAACTTCAACCTGCTAGTTTGTTTTGAAATATTTTCAGAAGAGTTTTAATTATTTATCTAATTATTAGTACCTCACAATCGGAGAAATTTAACTTATTTTAAAGTACTTGGCATAAACCTTTGTTGGGCTTTTCTTCTTTCCTTAGTTTGTTTTAATTTTCAGAACAAAATTTTAAAAATTGTGAATTCGGTGAAATACTGCGCAGATATTTGTTTTTTTTTTTTCTTCGCAATAATTTTCAGACGAAGAAACGTAACATTTTGGGCCTTTGATGAATAAGCAGACCTTTAGCTCTTTAGGCTCCAAGTCTTACAGCGTATGTAACCAATTTTTTCGGCGATGCAAAGAACACTTAAAATGCAAGTCACTGAGTATTGTGATTAAATATTATGATCGTCAAAGGAACGATCTCAAGTTTCAATCGGACGTATTTCCATCAAACGGAACTATGTGCATTATGACGTCAGCCCTGTTATGCACACATTCTTATGGGTCTCAGGGCTCATGTCATGCGTTTGGCAGAAATACGTCCTATCAATCATGAAAAGTGTCTGATTATCAATTATGTTCGTTAGTTTTATTAATAGAAATTAGCTTTTGAGGTTCTCATCTACTTTTAGTAACACCTAAAATAGCTTGGACTGGACTTTGGTAGCGTTTTTCGCTTAGAGTCAATGTTTTTTTTTTGCGTGGTGACAAAAAGCACACAAAAAGTTGGTTTTTAAATCGGATACATTTGGTTTTTAAATGAGATACATTTGGTTTTTCCCTGTGAAATTGTCTGAATGATTTTCTTCTTCATTTCCTCCATCGCTTTAGATTCAAGCCTCCCAAATGGATAACCCACTCAAGGCTGGAATCGCACGTGTAGAGGTTGAGCTATTGGACATCAACGACAATCAGCCTCAGTTTGAAGTTGACGTCTACAACATAAGCATTGTTGAAAATCTACCGAATGGTTTCAGCGTGTTGCAAGTTGTTGCCACCGATCAAGACCAGGTAAAAATAGTTGCAATTATTTTAGTTTCAATCGAAAGTGGCCCGAAACCTCGGAATAATCTTCATTTTATTCAACCATCTGAGTGTAAAAAAGAAAAAGTTCATATATTCATGAGTTAGTAAGAGACTCTTTATCTCAGATATTTCAGAGAGCGGTCCTCAAGTATCTCGCAACTTTTTTTGCACGCCGAATATTAGAACCTCAACCGTGTTCCTTGCACTTTGTTTTGTAATTGTTTTACGACGCAGATCCCGCTTTTATGCTGAAATGAGTAATAAAACACGCTTCAAGATATTATAACCTAATGAATCGTGCCGAAAAAATCAGATATCAGACACGCAAAAGTCATTACCGTAATAATTAAAATTCAAGAGGATCATCATACCCCTTAAATATCTCTATTATAAGTGTATTGATGAGGCCACTGTGCTAGCAGCGTAGTTTTATGCTCCTGTTCCAAAGTAGCATTTTTCAACGGAAAAATAGCGATATCTTGTAACTAAGTTGCGATTTTTTCCGATTTTTTGGCGATAATTGCTAAGATCATCAAAATCTAAGCGATTTTCCTCGATCTGGTTGGAATTTTATGTCTGTAAAATCGCGTTCGATAAAATCGGAATTTATCTCCATTCATCATGATTTTTTGTTCAACAGTATTGCAATAAATCGCCGATGAAATTGCGATTTTACTGCAAATTATGGGATGAAATCGCAATTTATAGTAATTTTTATCCGATAATATTGCCATAAATTGACGTTCTTACAATTGTGATACATTTTCCGATCAAATCGCAACTCATCGCGATCATTGCTACTTGGGTTATGACATATTGAGAACTGTACTTGCGCTATTTTGTCACCACAAGTAACTCGCCGTCCAGAAAAAAGATTGTTTCAATAGCGAGAAAAGTCACCCAGCATGATTCGCCTTCAATTTAGAGGCATGCATCTTTCACGGCGTGTGTACAAAAAAGTAAGGATTAAGAATTAAATGCATTAGCATTAGGAGTCTCTAATAAATTTTTACTTCCTTGTCCTCAGGGTGATAATGGCGAGTTCATCTACCATTTGGTTGATCCAAGTCAAGCTTTCAGTATAGACAGCCACTCTGGATGGCTGACCGTCCGAAATCAGGCGAAACTAGATCGAGAGACGAAGCCGTCTCTTGGTATGCGAGTTTACGCTAGAGAAAAACTCCCGTCTGTTGTATCCAGTAATTCTGAAGGGTAAGTTTTTCGCGTCAAAAAATGAATGCATAATTGAATACATTAATAAACACAGCAGTATAAAATAAAACAATGACAAAATTATGCTCAAGAAATTGCACAAAAAGTCAATTCATGAAACAAAATTACGATGTTATAAAACCGTAAAATATTTACCACAACTTTAAAAAACCACATAATCTCGTAAGCTAGATTAGCATTTCGTGATAACTTTTCAACATTCTCTTGGTTCCTAAACAATTTGAAATTTTTCAATAGCAAGGTAAGTGGAAAACTAAAGAATGTATAAGACTTATAAGCATAATGTGTGACGTCATCTTTTGGAACATTTCCCAATTTTTTATAGTTTGTACTCTTCTTTATCAACAAAAGATACTCATTGCTCAAATTTTCCAGGGACTCATTCGTGTCGGTGGAGGTGACTTTATTGGATGCCAATGACAACAATCCTGTGTTTGTTCCTACCAACTTGTACGAATTCTCAGTGCCATCAAATGCTCCTATCGGACAAGTCGTCGGAAGGGTAATGTTGTTTTATCAACTTGGTTTCGGAAAGCAGCGGATATGAATTTTAGTCATTAAGTATAGGATACATAGTTGAAAATTTCCGTGTTTAGTGTTACTCCGAGTTACTTTTTTCTGTGTCAGATCAACCGAAAGGACTCGGTTGCTTGGTGTTAAATCTTTTCAAACCCTACTCTAAGACATCGGGGCATGAGGAAAGAGTCTTGTGGAACTTATGTACTTTATTTTTCCTTTCCACACTTAGAAGATGCGACTTGCAAGAGGCTAGCGCGTTGGATTACTTCTGATTCGATTCAGGTTCGATCTTGGCAGCTGGCACCTGACTTTAACGAGGTCCCAGATTTTTAGCACAATGATTTGGTCACCTTAACCCAAAGATTTGGTCAATTTGACACAGAGAAAACCAACTCACAAAAAATCAACCAACAGCTTGTGTTACTTCGTGTTTTACTTCCTAAATTAACACAAAATTTAAGTTATACTTTTTCTTACTGTGCATTTGAAAAGTCTCGTGGATGATCTGACAGAGCAAAATTCACACGAGTCTAATCTATACTTTTAAACCCGTCCAATAAATCCTCTTGATGATATTTCTTGCTATGCAGCTATTCTTCTGTAAAATCATAAAAACGCAATTTAGGATCAAAAATATTGAGCAAAACTGGTGGCGTTTTGCCGACAGCCCTAATTTCTTTGCCCACACCGACTCCTTTCCACTGAGATTCTCGAATGTAAAGCAGTGATATATTTGCCCCAAAACCCGAACTGCAGCTGATTGTTGAAAATGATAGATAGAGCTATAGACAACGAAGACATAAGGAGTATGGGGCGATCCTCTTGGTTGAAATGATAGACTAAGGGAGAAAACAGTGGACTAACCGAAGGGTCTCTCAAGGGTCTCCGTTGGCAAGTCTATTACCTACATCCTTTGTCCATCGCAACCAACCACTTCCACCATTGGGATCCCTCCACATCCCTTTTGTCTTCTCTGTATATCGCTGTCTACTAATTTCAAGAATCAGCCCGCTGCCGAAGTTTGAGTCAAAAATCTGAAGTACCTCTGTACATACCCGAGTACTTCGGATGTTTGACCCAAACTTGGGCAGCTGGATTAGTGGCGTGGCGTGCTTTTCGATATATCGATTGATCAGTCACTTAAACCTATTGAAAAGTATCTATGAACAGGGTGTTCGCAGCGAACATCTTAATAATCGATCATTTACCACAGCTTCAATAGGGGGAATATCGATAGATCGTAAAGCACGCCACACCACTGCGCTGAACCTCGCAAGTGGATCCAAAATGCAGGATGCGCAATCCGAAAACTCGAGAGATCCATATGACTTCGACCTCGGGTCCCAGGCAGAAACTTTTCTCTGTGATAGATACTCTATAGCCCTGCATAGACGATCAAATTCCGAACCAATTCCGATCAAAGTAGAAATGCTGATGACTGGTGGTCACCATCTACCATCAAATTTTGACGGGCCGCACTTTTTTGTTCAAAGTAAGATCAGAACGGAGTGCCACCATTCATCATTTCCTGCCACAGGAAACATTTCTGCCAAGTTTTCATTTTAACATGGAGCAAATTAATGAGTTTAAGACCGATGACTCCCGACACTTTGATGCTACTTTGATCGGCATTGGTTCGGGAATTTGATCGTTTATCGAGGCCTTTCAGGAAGAATGTATGGGAATTGAGTTTGGTTTGTGGATAGGTGGAAGCTCGTGATCCGGATCTGGGTCGAAACGGGATGGTGCTCTACGACCTGCAGCGAGGGAATCTGTCCTCGACGTCGAAGCCGTTGCTCTTCTCGGTGGACGCCCAAAGCGGGAAGATCAGCGTGGCCGACTCCCCGCTCCCGCCCGGGCGCCACGCGCAGTTCGTCGAGGCCTCCGACCAGCCCGTCAACCCCAGCGAGCGACGCTACTCCCTCGCCGTCGTCACCATCGAAGTCACAGCCTCCGCAGGTCCGTCTCAACTTCTCTAACACACTCAATCATGGTGCATTTCATTCAAAGAAATGCAATACGAGGACCAGGGAACAGTACCGCCTAACCGACAAAGGGGAATTTGCATGCGATTTTTTATTGCTTCACACTGGTAAAAAAAAACCTCTTGGTTCGAGAGTGCAGTTTCTTGTCGCCGGATTTAAGAGTCTTGAACTCTTGTTTCAAGCGGATTTTGCATTGATTCAAGCGGATTTTGCATTGAAACAAGAGTCCAGACTCTTAAATCCGGCGACAAGAAACTGCACTCTTAAGTCAATGCACCGCGGCATTTGTCCAAGAGGTTCTTTTTACCAGTGCATCTGAAAGAGCTTAGAGAGCTGATTTCACAGTATTTTTCATAATTTTTTTCTGATATGGAAAATAGTATAAAATTAGATTTAAAAGTGAGAAAATGCACGGCCTAAAGACGCCATCTGGCGGCATTTTCCTTTTAAACACATGCATTTTAGCAGATTAGATAATTTTGTCATATCTTCTCCAATATTTTTCAATCCATGAACCAAGGGTATCCTCGTGTTCAGTTCACTCAGTAATTTCCACTTAAACACGAAATTCATCAAATTTCATCCACGTGCAAATCCTCTATACGTCGTTTCCCTCACGAAAGGACGTATCTCTATGTCAAGTTTGCCAAATTCTCTACTTTATATTGAATATTAACCAGAAAAATCTCGGACATTTCTAACCAAAAATTTTCCTGATTTTTCCTGGGATTTCATGCAGAACTCAGAAAGTTTTGGATAAAACTTGCACGGACACATTTTTGTAAAAGAAATGAATTGTTTTTGTCAATTTAGCAACCTTGGAATGAAGTTACATTCCTCCGTCCGGGAGTCGACAAATTTTGGCGATAATGGTAAAGCGCCTTTGCCGCATTTTTCAGCATTGAATATGGCAGCTGGTGCTGTTAGTTTTTCCAATTCCGCATGCAAACGCTGTAACGACGCTGTAATGTGTAAAAAAATTGCAAATCTGACCTCAAACTTATAAAAATTGCAAAGTTTCTTTTATGACCTGCAAAATCTTCAGTTTGCTTATAGGTGGTGTTGTTCCTCAGTTATCGCAGTATTTTTTACTGACAATCCAAGTAGTGTAATCGGCAAGACCGTTCCGAGGTCAACGCTGCTTTTTTTCATGGCCATGATTTATGAGAAACTTGTCAGACATAAAATTCGCCAGACCATGGCCTAATTGGCCTATACATTTCGGGCTGAATACTTTGAGTTATGCTAGCAAGCGAGTTTTAAAATTGCTATAACAACGGCCAAATTTAGTGGTTTTGAGAAAACCAAAAAAAAAAAAAAAAAAAAAAAAAAAAAAAAAAAAAAAAAAAATCAATTATTTACAAGAGGACGACTGTGCAGTTTCTGTCCAACATTTAGTTGCAAAATGTACGTCGGCAGAGGAAAAATTGGTGAACCAGTTAGAAATTTTAAGAAATACAATTTCCGATTGGAAATTTTGCAACGAAACGTAGTTACGTTCTTGTCTGGGAGACAACAGATTGGTTACTCATATTGTTACAATGGTTGGCGTTCTAGTAATTTTCTATTCAGTAGGTTCTATGACCTCCTACATTTTCTAATATTATGCTATGAGGTACATTCAATGTAGGTACTACATTGAGAATGTCTAATTCTGGACTTCATTTTGTACTGCGACATATTTTGTACAAAACAATATTAAGAATAACTTTCATGCGTTGTTTAAGCTTTATAGAGGTATCAACTTTACACTCTTTGCTTAATTTACCAGGTGATGGGAGCAAAGTGCCCGATTTTATTGGAGCTCCGTACGAGTTTTGGGTCGGAAGTGATGTCCCTATCGGCACAAGTGTGGGACAAATACGTCTGAACAACGCCATAGACCACAATAAAGTCATTTATGATTTACTACACAGCTATCACGAAGGAGGTAAGTAAATATTTATCCGTCCGTAAATGATAAAAATGATTTTTTATGCTTCTCGTTTTTTCTGTTATAATTCATACGACAGGAGTGTGTAAAGTTTTGATTTTTCGGAAACCATTTTGTCTTCGGATGTTCGCTTAAGTTCACTCTCATGTTGATCAGCATGGTTGTTGTCTGGATCGTCTTGAAATGTTCATTTGAAAATTATCTACTATTTTTCAGTCAGTTCACTCGGTATGATTTTTCTCTCTTTCCAGTTCCGTTTGCCGTCGAAGAACGCTCAGGCACCATCACGGTGATCGATGAAATGCGAAAGTTTGGGCGGACTCTGTACGACTTTGAGGCAGTCGTTGCAGACGAAAAAGAAAACACGCTGGCTACGAATGTTACAATTCATATAGTCGAGTCAGAATCAGGGGTGCCTTTCTCGAGGTAAGAACATTATGCAGGAAAAAAACAGGAGAAAGCCTTCTTGGAGAGAAGTAACGGGTTGCATGATAATTATTGTGATTAATCGTTACTTTTGGCTAACATCTTTCTTACCGATTGATAAATATATGGTAATTTTGAGATATCGGCTTACACTTCCAGTTTCGCGAGGGTCATTTTATGAAAGTTCCAGACTACCAAAATATAACTAAACTGAACACTACTAAAACCACAACACTAGCTGCAATTGAGTAGGGAAAATTTAACTGTTTTTATGCATTTCATTCGTATAATTTTTACTGTTTCAAATGAAATTTCAAGTTCGAGAACATCTTTAAAAAGCATTTAACCAAAAAGAAAATAAGTCCATGGTTTAGTTTTTCTTTTGAGAGACTCAGTAATGTCCATATCTATACTCGTAAGCAGTTTTTATATCATTCTCAAAACAGAGATGAAAATCGGATTCATTTGGGAAACTGGTGTGATCCGAGCAAACTAACATTTTCTGACAAAATTGTAACGTAAAGGAATAGTTATAATGGTATATTTTTGTAACTACAGGAAAATGTATTAACGACGAGCGTGCCTTCTCAAATTTAATGTCAAACTTCTCTCTAAGGGAATCAGAAGAAGAAAACCTCCAAAGTAACTTTTGTGTCGCAGAAAAAAAAAGGTTAATCAAAGTTCTCATTGAAAATTCAAACTTGTCCTCGTTTATCTAGTTGTACAGGAGAGAAATTTTTAAACTTAAGTTTACTGGTAATCAGTGGTATTATGATATTCCTCAAACATTGTTTAGGACTAGCACAGAACCAATCACCATGGAATTCAAAGTTCGCGAGAATCTGTCTGGAGCGTTAGTTGGTCAGCTAGTCAAAGGTGGTGGGAGATCAAAAATAGACAGGTTTGGAAACAAAACGTCAGAATCCACTCGATGGAGAAATCAAAGGTTCATCATCGCCAGCCAACCGGATGTCCTCGAGCAGTTCGCGATATCACAAGACGGCACAATATACACGCAAAAAGGGCTCGACAGAGAAACAAAAGACACATATCAATTGACCATCATCGGTGAAAACGGGAATGGAATTGTACGAGGAGGAGAAATTTATCAAGTAAGACACAGTCTTTGATAATTTTTAAAAAATTTTCTTCGTCGGCTGATAGTTTTTTTTTTCATATCTTTTAGGCTGCTTTCAATATATTCCTTCTGTTATGTATATTCATGACTTAAAGATCTTCTTAAAGATAAAGGTAAGATAAGAATAAAGATAAAGATTTCTTTTTTTTTAAAGGGACGTAATCAATATTTATCATTTTCACATAGCTTGTGAGCCAAATGTTTTTCTTAAATCCGTTCAAAATTTATGTTCTTAAGAATCTGAGATTTTTTATTAAAAGCGGCAGCACTATTTTCTTCTCCGCAACCAAGAAAGAATTAACTTTGAAGAGAAATAGGACCAAGTTCAGCGCCTCGGTGAGTATAACTTACCGTGCCCTCTTGCAAGTGAAATTGCATCTCTTCCGTTTGAAGGCGATATGAAAATGGTCACCTATTCAGCTAACTTCATTGTAACCAGTCCTCTTACCATCAAATCAGAGCACATCTCTCTGACATCGAGGGAAAATATTCCTCACGATACGAATATTTCAAATTTTTGCGGGTCAAACATGTGATGAAACTTATGCTCAACGTCGTCCGCATTATTTTTGGTTTGCACCTTGTAGGAATTGACTTAGTGAATTTAAAAAAAAGTTGTTTTTCATCTTCTTTAACTTCAACTACACGAAATAAATTAGTTAAGAGTCTCACCCAACTAATTTCTTAAAGCAGCATGCTTCAAATTTAAGTTGTTTTGTTTTTTAATTTGTCGCTGTTATAGCGGCATTTTTAATAACTATCCTTCTATTTGAGTGTATTTTTGGGTTCAAATATCTTGTTTTTTTTCATATAAGTGATGCGATATCTTTCTCTCCTGAAAATAGGTGAAAGTACACGTTGAGGACGAGAATGATAACCCGCCAATGTTCGATCGGCAGTGGTACAAAGGCTCTGTGAAAGAAAACGTGATAGCACTCTCTGAAGTTAAAATGGAGGAGCCAATTAAAGCTAAGGACGCAGATATTAATGGCAATGCGCAGTTCAAGATGAGTCTCCGAGGGGAGGGTAGCGAGCTGTTTATTTTGGATCAAACAACTGGCAATCTTCTGGTTAAGAGTGACGCAAGTCTAGATCGAGAAATGAAAGACTCCTACACCTTGCGTATCATCGCCAGAGACAAAGGTAGTACCTTTTTTTTCTTTCTCATACGTACCTATAAAACGCTTTGACTTACATGTCAGTATTAAATTTCTTCTTTCTAGAACACAGATGAAAGAGAAAATATTACTTTTTAGGGGTTTTCGTTCAGATCAGCCTGCAGGGCCGGATTAAGGGGGTAGCCACATGGGCCGCGGCCCATGGCGGCAAATCTAAGGGGCGGCAAAAATTTGCAATTTTTTTTAGTGTAGGTATAAAAAAAAATCGGATTTAGAAAAAAAAATTACAAACGAGAAAATGCGACAAAATCTCTCATCTCCTAAAAGTATAGTAATTTCTAATTTTGTCGTCTCTGAGTGATACAAGAATCAGCACCTTTAATTAGTCGAGTTAAGAGAGAAACCAAACATGCAATTTGGCCGAAATTTGGCGACTTAGAGGGAAATGATGACGAGGACTTGAGATGAAAAGGAGAGGCCCTCGGCTCGGCGATCGGCATGTAATACATATTAGCGCCTACAAGGCTGCAGTCATTGCGGTTAGCATGAGATGGATAGCGCCTACAAGAATGCATGAATACTTCACGCTTTGCGCCAAACACAGTGCGGTCAGCGTGAAACACATAGCGCCTACAAGACTGTCGGAATACTTCACGCATTGAGCTAAACACGGTGCGGTCTGCGCGGCGCTGCGGCGGAAGTTAAAATCATTGAACCACATTTATGTTTGTTCTTTCATACTTTTTTCGTTCATTTCTTATGAATGGAAGGCCTTGTCCACATAGAGATAGGTTTACGAAACTTAACTTTCGCACAAAGTTCTGTGAACTTATGCTAGTAGTGTTGACAGGGCTTTCCTAAAAAATGTGTTCAACACGAGTACATGCGTCTTATGCACCCCTCCCCTGCTAGCACGTTCACTTGATGGTTTTTATTGTGTTTCAAAACGAATGAGAAGGGGGCGGCAAAATATAGGCGGCCCAAGGGCGGCAAGTAGGTGAATCCGGCCCTGAAAAGGAGTGCAGAGTAATTGAACCGGTTCTTGCAATAGCATACCATTTTCTTGAACGTCTTTCAATATTGCAGCTGGCAGTCCTTTTTTCACACCACTGATTTTCAAATCGTTAAACGTACTTGAGGCGAACAAGGAGTTAGAATAAGGCTGAATCTACACTATTCTCAGGGGAAAGCACGGCCAAAACAGTGGTGGATCTAGCAAATTGGCAACATTGTTTTTTCTACATTTAAACCAAGGGAAATGTATCGATTTTTTTAGGGGCCAGGTGCAGGTGCTCCGACAAGAATCGATTATTTGACATAGGTTTAAATGGCGGAAATCCTGTGTTCCCAAATTGCTGGATCCGCCCCCGGGCCAAAAAATTCCGAAAGTTTGAGCTTTAATGCGCATCATTGCAAGACTCAGGGAAGAGAGGGTTCATATCACGTTACATTGGAATATTTTTCTGCGGCATGCCCAGGGATCTGTAAAGTTCTGGGTCTTCTTAGACCTCATCGGTAAATCACATATTCCTTAATGGGTACGACTTCCAGTCGGGCAACATTTATATAGTGTATTTTCTTCTCTACCCAAGTAGCCGTGATTGCGATAAGTTGCGATTTGATCGGAGAATGCCTCGTGACTTTATAGACGTCGATTTATTGCCATATCATCGGATAAAAATTTGCGATACATTGCGATTTTATCACGGAATTGTGCAGTAAAATTTTGCTTTTATCGATGGCAATTCGTTCCAATATCATCACAAAATCTTGATAAATTGAGGTAAAATTGCGATTGTGTCAAACGCGATTTTATAGAGATAAAATTTGATGATCGTGGAAATTATATCGGCGAAAATCATAAGGAATTGTAAGTTAGTTGCAAAATATCGCGATTTCTCTGCTAAAAAATGCCACATGGGTAGAAGGGAACTTAAGAGATATTTACGATGGAATTGCAGGGAATCTGAGTTCGGAGGCCCGGGTGACGATCTCGATCGAGGACGTGAACGACAACGCACCGCGTTTCGTCCAGATGATCGTGCACCAACGCGAGGGCGTGGACGTCATCAAAACGACGTCGGACGGCACCAACAACCTCAACGTCGTCTCCGGCAATTCCACCGTCCTCAAATCCCGGAAGAACCTCTTCAAGGAGCCCTCCGTCCCGGTCGTCCTCATCCCCGAGAACATCCCCGTGGGCACGAACCTCCTCAAGCTCAACGCCGTCGATAAGGACATCGGCGAGAACGCTCTCATCACCTACTCCATCAACAGCGAGACCGTCACGTCCGACGGGGCCATGCCCATGAAGAAGCATCTCGCCCATTTCACCATACACCCAGCCACCGGCGAGCTATCTATCGCCAGTTTCCTCCCACCAGGTATCTAATATTTCATCTTTATTTTCTAATCCGCCTCCGGAATAGAGACCTTAGCGCTAAAAATTAAAAATTGAGTCATCGATGTAATTACGTGGAGGAGTATTCGAAAATAAGAAAAAATTGACAGAAAGCATGACAAAAAATTTCAAAAACAAATCGGTTATGATTGTTTGAAGTTTAAAGTTTAAAAAACGAAGTTTTAAGAAAAAGTTACACTAAAAAAAAACACTCCGGCCGTGGAAGCCGTACTTACGGGCTATATAGAGATACCGTCCGTGTTTCGGCCTCTGAGCCCGGAACACGGACGGTATCTCTATATAGCCCGTAAGTACGGCTTCCACGGCCGGAGTGTTTTTTTCAGTGTACCTAACGTTTCAATCTGCCCTTTCTGTGGCTCAAACAAGGTCGCAGGTTTTTGAAATCGCTCTTCGGCACTAAAATGAGCAAAATAGTAGTGACGCCATAAGTTGCAATTTTATTGGAGAATGTATCGCGATTTCATCGACTACGATTTATTGCAATACTGTCGAACAAAAACTCGTGATAAAAGACAAAATATCGATTTTATCAAACGCAATTTTATAGAGATGAAATTGCGACAAGATTGAAGATAATCGCTCAGATGCTGATTATCCTAGTAATTTAATGTGAAAAGATCGTAATAGAAAATTGCAACTTGATATCAAAGTATCGCGATTTTTCCGTTTATAAATGCTCTTTAGAAGTGTTACAGAGTGGGTCTAAATATTAATTTCAGTCCTAACGCCAGGATTCTACATCCGATATCACTCATCCTTTACAGCGAGTATTTGTGAGGTAGCGCCCTTTCCCTTAGGTGTATCACGTACTACAAGCACGCTTTCATATGGCGGATATGTTTTCCTCTCTAATATCTCCTCGTTCCAGAGACATGAGATCCTCCACTGGTATCTTGGCAATGGTGGAAGCTTTTACTTTCGGGACTTCAGCATTCTGCTATTGACTTTACTTACATGGTTGATGTTTAGCAACGTATTGGCGAAGTTTGGGAAACTTGTTTGGCTCATGACGTCACCCGAAGCTCACCATCCACCATGTAGGTAGGTTAACAGCCGAAAAAAGAGTGACTCTCGTTGCTCCGTTACAGTTGTCCATAAGGAGGTGTTGAATCCTCGAAAGTAAAAGCTTCCACCTGTCGCCAAGAGGGCGATGGAGGGTCTCTTGTCTCGCTTCTTTGGATGTTTTTTTCACCTAGAGTCCCTTTATACTGAGAGGCAAGACAATGTGAATCCATTTCTGATTGGTTCCCGTATTTTAGGCCTTCACAGTGTCAAAAACGGGAATAAAGATTACATTTTCACCGATTGCAAAGATTATAATCTGGAATGGACCAGGGAATTACGGGTTTGGCAAGGAACAAACAGAATGAGAGAAGGAACGAAGAGAGGAATTTGAGAATGGGCCGATCAAAAATTACAAAAAACGTTCAATTGCTGTAATCTTTATTCCCGTTTGTGACTCCATGAGGGAGTGTTGTCTTGACTCTCAGTATAAAGGGACTCTAGGTTAACAGCCGAAAAAGAGTGACTTGTTTCTCCGTTACAATTGTTCATAAGGAGGTGTTGAATCCCCGAAAGTAAAAACCTCCACCTGTCGCCAAGAGGCCGGTGGAGGGTCTCTTGTCTCTGCTACTTTGGATGTTTTTTTACCTAAGCTCATCTATTCACGAATATATTTCCCAGAAACGGAATTCCGGCTGAACATCTCAGCGACGGACTCGGGGGATCTCTCCGGGCACACGATCATCAAGATCTACGTGAAGGACGTCAACGACAACGCGCCGGTGTTCACGAAGCCGTGGTACGACTTCACGATCCCGGAGGGGACGTACACGAACCACCTGCTGGGGCACGTGGCGGCGACGGACGCCGACTTCGGGGAGAACGCCAACGTGACGTACGCCATCCTGCAGAAGCACGAGAGCGGGGCCGCCCTCCCGTTCGCCATCACCGGCGCCGGCGGGATCCTCATCAACGGGGAGCTCGACCGCGAGACCACGCCGTCCTTCCTCCTGAGGGTCATCGCCCAGGACAACGGGCCCCTCAACACCCGGCTCAGGACCACCGTCGATGTCGAAGTCCACGTCGCTGACATCAACGACAACCCGCCTGTCTTCTACAGTTACGACAGGTGAGTTCCACCGGCTTCAGGCAAATTTTCGCCAGTAGGGCTTTTTTTTATCCGTGGAACGCATGGATCGCGATGATAGCGGTTCGGGCTGGTTCAACCAGCCTGAACCAACCTCAACCTACCCTGGAAGAGTGATCCAAGCGTTCCACTGGAACACATGGAACAGTTGGATCGCGCCAGTGGAACGCGATAAAAAAGTGATGCGTTCCGTTGTGGTCCACTGTGGTTCGGATAAAAAAAAAGCTCTAGTGATTCGGTCCAAGTTCATACGCCGAACTAGGAATTTTCTTCGGGGGCACGGGGGATATAGATTTTGGGCTAAGAAGGCTCTGGAGGGACTCCTCCAGCTGCAGAGACCTCAAGACATTTTTTGAAAGGGGTCAAGCATAATTGTGGGGATGGCCGGACCCCCCCTCCCTCCTATTTCCGCCCATATCGAAGTTTTTGACTTACTGCAAACCCCTTTTACAACGAAATGTAATTCCCTCCGGATGACGGTGCGCCTACAACATTTGGTCCTCATGCAGTCAGCAATCATGACGATATCCAAAATTCTCGACTCACTTCCCGAGGTGAGTAAAAGTGGGTAAGTGCAAATGTTGATCAAAATTCAACAAGCAGCTGATTTTAGTTCTGCACTGCAGCAAGGCGCTTTTCTCCTTCAGTTTGCAACCCTGCCGATCTAGTTAAAAAAGTCGATCAAATCCTTTCGCGAAAATTTGCCTTCTATCGCTGCGTATAAACTCTTCTCCATGTAGAAACTGCAACTCTCAAAGAGGCTCATTCATGCCTTTCCCAGCCCTTACACTGGCCCGCAGTACAAAACGGGGTAAATTGTGAACCTCTTTGAAGCCCTGCTTAAGATATCAGTGCAAACATTCGAGGTCGAGTATCATTTGAAAAATGTAAAATCGGAGTGAAAATCTAAAATAAACCCAATGAAAAAACTTTTTTTTTTAGTATGCTTGACTGACGTCAGACTTTCAAGCCGAGCTTAGGACGTGAGACCTGACCATTAGTCGTCAGCAACTGGTATCTGGATCTCGGGAGTAGGACTGGAAACCCTACCCGGGGTGTGCCAATGTTTTTTAAAAAAAGGGGGGGGGGACTCCGTGCCCTCTTTCGTAATCTAGGCGCAAGATAGCAGATTTTATTTCCAATAAAGAAACAACAAAGGAACAATGTCAATATTTATCTGTAAAGTTGGACTCATCTAATATATATGTAATTTTCTTTTCTTTTCTTTTCGGGAAGACTGCTGAAGATCCCAGCATCCGAGCTGGTGGACATCGAGGCACTGCCGAAGTTGGACGAGAAGTTGGAGGGGCTGGCGACGGTGCCGGTGTACTACGCCTCGATAGTGGAGAACTCGACGCCCGGCGTGCCGATCGCCCGCGTCTTCGCCAACGACTCGGACTTCGCCGGCAACGGGAACGGCCTGATCCTCTTCGACATCGCCCGGAGCCGCGGGCGGGTCGGCAAGGACCTCTTCAGCATCGACTCCAAGGAGGGCGTCATCTCCACGACCGCCCCGCTCGACTTCGAGGCCGCCCGCACCCACAACGTCACCGTCGTCGCCTCCGACCTCGGGAAACCCAGTCTCAGCGCCACCGCCTTGTTGGTCGTCAACGTCATCGACGTCCCTGAGCCTCTTCCCGACGACCAGGGACCTATGTTCGCGCATCGCTATTATGAGCTCGAGGTTTGTATGCACATCACAAATGAGGAGAAAAAATTCAAAATGTGATAAGAGCATGAGGTGTTGGTGAGATTATAGAACTGGTTTTTCATTCAATGGGAATCTAGTGACCTAAGACTACCAATTTTTGATTTGAAAATAAGACCGAGATTCAGAGAAAACCCCTCATAAAAAGCCAATACAGTATTGGCATGCAGGTCCATTTTACTCGAAGAAACGTTATGTTCAATCTTAGCAAAATGTGCACTGGTAACAAAAACCTCTTGGACCAATGCCGCATAGCATTGACTTAAGAGTGCAGTTTCTTGTCGCCGGATTTAAGAGTCTTGAACTCTTGTTTCAAGCGGATTTTGCATTGATTCAAGCGGATTTTGCATTGAAACAAGAGTCCAGACTCTTAAATCCGGCAACAAAAAACTGCACTCTTGAACCAAGAGGTTTTTTTTTACCAGTGTGTTGGCGCTTATCAGGTTTTCAATTCTTCAAACGGGTTTCATGACGATGTGTCCACATTTTTGCGCCTACACCTAATTCGTTCATTTTCCCGGCCCGTCAGTTACATTTTTTTCCCTAATTTCTTCAGTACAAGTGCAAATTATTCCCAATAAATAGGTGGCTACTACAGTAATCAGTCAAAGACTTTAATAAATTGGACTGTATTTTGCAATTAGGAACTACCATTTCTGGCTTACCTGTAAAGAGCGTAGGAAAACTAATGGCACGTACGGCGTTTCTTAACTGAGCCAGAAATGGTAGTTCTTAATTGCAAAATATAGTCCAATTGATGTATTATGGCAACGTGTACGAAATAAAAAAGCAGTGAGTTTTTCCTCTACTTTATTTTTTAATTTCAACTGCGATTTTTCAGAGAAAATGTTAAAATAAAACTCAAAAGTTTTTAGATAATTACCCAGAGCGCCATATGTCAATTCGTATTGTTTCATTAAAACTCAGGTGGAAGAAAACTGCGCCGTGCCTTTGGAGATCCTGGCCCTAAACGTATCCGCCGAGCACAGGGACAAGCTGGTGGGAGCCGGAGGCTTGCGATTCAGCATCGTCCAAGAGGAGAGCAGTGGGTTCTTCCACGTGGATCCGCGCAACGGGAGCTTGTACCTCATCAACAGTCCCGACAGGGAGAAGACCGCCGAGCTCGTCGTCAGAGTCAGGGTCGACAGGATCACCAAACGGGGCAAGACACTCCACATGATCTACCCCATTCAGCCTGATGCCCTCGCAGATATTGGTACGTTTTAAAGCGGATTTCTCGCGAAAAATTGGATTGCCTTCAGCAGAAAGGAGGCAAGCCAGATCAGTTATTACCAGATTCGGTTGGTCAGTTGCGCCGGTCACAGAATCGTGTTTCGATGCTTAATTCCTGTAGATTAGCTAGAAATAATCTGCAAGAATCAAGCATCAAGACACGAGTCTGACCAGCTCGACTGACACATTGAGCGATTTAATTTTTTTACATGAAAATGGTTGTGTGGATTTTTTGCAAATTCCAGTGAATTTTCAGCAAATTCCTTAAAATTTTAGTCCATATTAGTCCAAAAAAACCCCTCACAATTAATCTTTTCTCAGGCGAAAGACGTAGCTTCATTGCAAGGTTGAACTTAAATTATTTATTATTAATTATTGACGCAAACAGTTCAATTTTCCACGAGAAAGTATCTCTATAATGTTTTTCCAGCATTTTCCTGATTCTTGCACGAGATCAGCAGAAGAAAAATCGGTGAAATTTTCAGTCAGCAACGCACAATATTCTTCCGGTAAAAATGCAGTTTGTGAGGGGAAATTATGTAACATTAAAACGGACTGCATTTTGTAATTTGGAACTAAAAATTCTAGCCCGGTTTAAAAACAACGTATGTGCCATTAGTTTCCCTATGCACATGAGTGTTTCTCCAGAAGAGCCAAAATTTACAGTTCTAAATTGCAAAATGTAGTCCAAATGTAGTTACGTTCCTTCGTGACGGAAAGGACAAATTGAGTTATTGATGAAAAACAAGAAGGATTGCCTTTAAAAATTTAGAGACAGCACAACACACAAATGTTTTCAAGACTCACAAAGTCATTCACATTTTTGGGAGGGACCACGTGTATTTCCTGGGCGGGGGGGGGGGGGGGGAGGCGAAAGAGACAGGCTATAGTTCCACCTAAATAACTGTCAAAGAACGGCGTTCAGTATACCTTTTAATGCAAGTTGCTGTGCAAGTTATTCAAACGTATTCAAGTTGGTTCTTCTTTCCTATTTAGCCCCAAACGAAGTTAAAGTAATCGTGAAGATAATTGACGTCAACGATAACTCACCCCGTTTCATTGGGAACGGACGTCCCTTGGTGGCGGCAATACCGACAACGGCAAGCTACGGATATCCGATCGTCCGACTTCAGGTAAATCCTTGAATATTTTTGACAGTCTGTTAAGTTTACCTCGAAATGTAGGCGTTGGAGAGCTGCTTAACAACATTAATATTTCAGCGCTACTTGTCATATTCAGGCGATGTAAGCACTAAGATGTGTGCGATTCGTGAATTTATTTTTGCTTGAATTATAATTCAAAAAAAGAAGGTGGTGTTTCTTTTGGGGCTGGTGATAAATTCGTAACATGATTATCGAGAAAAACACTTGATATATAGTGTTCGGAAGCCGTGACTTAGATATGGTTTTATAAAGAACCCTCTCGTAATGTACCCAAGATTTCAGAAAGAATTGCGTGAATTTATTCAGAATGAAAGGCTATTCTAATATTTTATAGAGATGAAGCACTCTTTGGTACACACATATTCATCAGGAAAAATACAATAAATCGTTGAATATGGCTATGTTTTGCAATAATAGTGTGTGTTTTTGTTCTGTATTAATGATCAATGTTAAACTTTTCAGGCAAAGGATTTAGATCAAGGCGCAAACGGTGAGGTCCGCTATCAGATTTTAGGTCAAGAAGAGGCTAAAAAATTTGCGGTGGATCCAATCACGGGTCAGATACGGTCCGTGGCTAGTTTCGTGCGGGATGCTGGTAGAGTTTTCGGGTTTGATGTCAAAGCTGTTGACAGGAACGGAGCAGAAGATGGCCGATCTGCCATCGCCAATGTTTTCGTGAGTATTACCATTGTGAAAAAATTTACATTCATCAGAGAATATGAGTACACCTTGATCTCGCCCCTTAACGACATCAACAAACATTGCAATAAAACGGTTTTAAGTCTTGCGCTATTGCACTTTAAATGCGGGCTTGTAGCTACAATATTACTCAATACTGCTGCAATATTGGTTTAGCAGATAACGCAAGTTGAAAATATTACATTTTGCTCGGAACCGAATGAATTACCTTTGCATTTTTAAATGTTCGGACTGAATTTCAAATTATTTTTGTGTTCCTTTTTTTAGGTATTTGTTCTTGACGAACAGAAGAAGTTGGCTATGGTTATTGAAGCCAGGCCTATGGAAATTGAAGAGCGAATGGAAAATATTACAATGTAAGTATTTGTATGAATGAGAATACTACGTTAATATTGTGAATTCACTCGGAACAAACGCTAAAATGTTTGACAACATGAACAACAATTTACTGAAGCTGCAAAACTGATTTTATTGAATTGAAGTAAAGTATTAATAAAATTAGCCTATGTCGGTTTTTATGGAAAACCAATTGACAATGTTAAAAAAAAAAACATATAATTCAAATCTGAGCACTCAAAATAAGAATCAAGCTTTCATTTCTTTGAGCAGAAAAAAGTTTCACGAATAAAAATTATTGTTCGCAAATAAAAATTATTATTCATGCATATGTGACCAGAATGGTATTTGGCAACAACGTTTGATTCTGCAATGAGAGATTAATTTAACGATATTTTTATTCTAGAGCCCTCTCAAACATTACAAATTACGATGTTCGTGTCAGGAAACTGGAGCCTCGTTTAGACACCCATCCTGAAGATCCAATTGCGTAAGTATCGTGTAAAAATTATTTCACACTCTTCTGAACGTAACCTTCAAATTGTACTTTCAGAGGTATATCTCGCAAATTCATCAGATTTGTTTTCAACTTTTTTATGAACTAACGTTTTAAATAATTATTATCGTAGATTTGTTGTTGTTGTTGTTGTAATCTCATGATTTTTCTTCTTTTTTCATTATTACATTCATACAAGCCTCTGTCTTGTGATGGAGGCACTATGATTTCAAGACAATGTAGTTAAACTTCTTCAATGTGTACAAATGTGTGTAAATGAGACGAATTTTAAAAATGCCTAATTCACAGATTTTTCGCGGCAAAATCTTTTGAAATTTTTCTCCCAAAGAAATGCTCCAATAAACTTCAATCACTCATATTTAATCTCTGTAATTTTATATTTTCTCGTTTTTTGTAGCACGGATTTGTATCTGTATGCTGTCGATCCTCTCATGAATACAATCGTTGATAACGACCTTCTCAGCAAGTAAGTCATTTTAACTCCCCTCCTTCATTTGAAATGTAATAACAATAAAATAGGAATAGTAGAAATAATGGCAAACATAGGCAGCCCAAAACGGAAATAGTAGGATGAAAGCAAAAACAAATGTACATGAAACGTCCTGCGTAAAATTGTGTCTATTTGTATCCTTTTTTCCGCACTGTTCTTTGTTTTCATCCTAAAATAGAAACGATAATAAATTTTTATTTTTTCAAAGACTGGTAAAATAAACTGAAGGAATGTTGCCTTCCTAAGTTTCATTTGAAGATTCATTAAGAGCCCTTGAAGCATTTGTAAAGCTGAACCAATTATCACTGTGGCCATGAAATTGCGCCTAATGGAAATGATGACTATTATTGCGCTTATATGTACATTTTCAAATATGAAAAATAAATACTAAAATGAAACTTTTGGATTTTTTCAGTGCTCTAATGACGAAGGAAAAAGAAGTGCGATTGGCATTAGATCCATACAACATAATGGAAATAGCCACAGTCTCTCCAATAGTTTCGACGGCTGAATCGATACCAAAACCTCAGAGGCCAATCCTCACCGGGCTGGAGATCATGACTATCATCTTAGGATGCATAGTTTTTGTCGGAGCACTCACAGCCGCAGTCTGCGTTGGATGCATCCACCGAAAGTACGTAATCCGAAAAGTCACTACTTATTAATTTTCCTAATCCAATTTCCATCCTCACAAAGTCATAGGGTCCTTTCAAAATGCTAATGCTACACTATAATGGGCCATCCAAGTATTACTTAAACTGCACAGAAGGGCGAGGGGTCTGCGGGCTGATTATTGAAATTGATCGACAAAGCAATAGACAAAGAAGACAAAAAGGATATGGAGGGATCCTATTGGTGAAGCGGGTGGCTGCAATGAACAAGGACGTATCGATGGTGAAACTACCAAACCACGTATCTCGTTTGCGGTGTTTAAAAATCTACGCTCACATTTTATTTTTTTGAAGTAGACTAAATCAATATCATTCCTTGAAATTTTCACAGAATTTTCTCCCCACGAAGAGGAAAAATCACAGAAATTTTCAAGACTGGACGTTAAGTAGTTTTTTCTTTAAAAAATAAAGTATGACAGGAAGTCTGCGACGTCGCAAACCGAGATACGTGGTTTGGTAGTTTCACCGTCGGTATGTAATAGACTAACTAACGGCAACCCACGAGAGACCCGATTTATAGTCCAGCATTCACCCGTTAGTCCATAAGAGCCACCCATTTCAACCAATAGGATCGCTCTATATACTTTATGTCTTCTTTGTCTATAAATTTCAATAATCGGCCTACTGATTGTGAGCTTGCTTTACAGGTTCTTACGAGGGGGAGGGTCGGCGAGAGTGACGCCATCCATATGCAAGCCGCCCACCTCAGGAGCAAATATTTTCCCATGTTTTTTTCCCTGATACCTTGCATATCCTTCCTCCGGATTTTTCTGAAAAATGGGGGGGGGGAAGGGGGTTGGCCAACGCTACTTAATTCTAAAAGGAGGTTGTATTAAAAAAATCAAAAAGTCGGCTAAAATTCCCTGCGTGTACCTAATACTCGTACTTGAACGCCTTTGAATGGCATTTAGATTCGTGCTCCTGCCGTCGAGTGCATTTTTTTCTTTTCATTATACCTATTTTTCTAGAACCGTATTTTCTTTTAAGTTTGGAAGAGAGAAATTTAAAGACAACTCATTTTTTTTCTTTGTTTCTGAAAATATCCACTAGGAGCCTTATGAAAAATATTAAATCTATGATGTAAAACTCCCACCTACGCCCAACGTGATTCTTTTAACCGTCGCCAGCTAAAGCGCCTGCAAGTATGATGCAGGCAAAATGCGTGTCCCATCGGCACGGATTCATCCAAACTGTACGGCGGGATGAGTTCTGCTAAGAACAGAATTTTATTTTAAGTTTTAAACCTTGCACACCATGATAAAACTCTCTTAAGATGTTTATCAAAAGATCTATTTAAAATCAAACTTTCTTTCTTAAAAAAAAAAAAAAAAAAAAAAAAAAAAAAACCCTATAACGGAAAATTACGAAAATGATGTCATCCTTTGCCGGTGTTAGTGCATAATATACTTTTTTCTCAACCTAAAATTCATCAATTTGTGATGCATACACTTACATTTAAAATTGCAGGGGTGCAACGTAATAACTCACTATGGAAAGGAAGAAGACACATTCTTGTTACACACAAGAATGGAGAAAACGTCATTAGTCTTATTAAATAAAAATAAGAACGACATCTTCGCCATTATTTGATGTAATAACTCAACGTTTGAATCTTTTCATGTTTTCTTTTTCGGTTATTTCAGAGATAAGAATGTGAAATCTAGTACGTTTGCATCTAACTCAATGGCTGAAATAGCATTTGGGCTCAGCCCGAAACAGGGTCACATCATGAACTGCAAGCCACGTTCCATGTTCCATCCGCATCCCTCCTCTTTTATGGAAGACTCCACGGACAGCTACACCGAAATGGCATCCGAGTGTCACAGGCATCGCCATAGACAGCATCATCGGTAAGCTCTACTCAATCAAATTTTTCTTTGGTTTTGGCTATTATTTTTTTTTTTTGCTACCTGAATGGGCTGCTTCAGATTCGATCATATTCTACCATAATCACCTTATTTTTGTGCTATTAATGTATTTACCGCGAATAAATGTATAGTTTTAGTCTTTCAAATTACAAAATGAATAGATAATACCATATTTGAAGCCCTACTTTAACATAATATGTAAGAAAAAAATCGTTTCATCAGTTCAGACGTGAATCATTTTATATTTCAAATTGTTTGATTTAGAAGTCTTGAGTTTCGGAGTATTAAATAACTCAAGAAAGGAGAAAAGAAGAAGCTATTTTTTATCTTTCGTCATTATCCAGTAGTATTCTATGGACTAATTGCTCGGAATACTCTTTCACATAAGGTCAAAAAGAAGTTGGAATAATGGTTGGAGACGGACTAAATTTAATACGTATCAACAAATTAATAACGTAAGCTATTGATAAGGTTATTCGCATGGATAACTAAACTAACTTTCGTAACTAAAGGATCCCCGGGGTTTCAGCATCCGTTAAATGCCCTTCTCTGAAAAATTTGCGATCGTTTGAAGCCGTTCAATGCCCGTTGACCCACGTAAAGGTTAAATGCCCCCCCCCCTTCTCGGTGTTTATAGCTACGCTTAAGGCCACGCGAGCAAAATATTCAACTAAATTAGCTTCAAAACTTTGTACAAAATTGTGTGTATTATTTGATTCTCGATTATTTACGAGATTGTATTTAAGATCCTATCTCAGAAAAATGAGGCTCCATGACTCTCAAAATAGCGGAGTGTCTTCCATTTAGTTTTATTGTATAATATATATTTGTAAAAATAAATGTACATATTTCGTGTAAAAATTATATTGACTAAATACCTGCTGAGCGATTAATTTTTCTACATTTTTAACCCAAAAGAATTTTAGTTTTAAATCCATTAGTCATATTCCATGTTCCTTCTAACATTTATTCCAACTTCTCGGGCCTTTTTACATTTTTTTTTATTTTTTATTTCATAATACGTTTTTTGAGTCTATGTTTCGATTAATTAATAATTTTCAACCGTAGGAAACCTACTGGGATTTCGAACGAAATTTATCATTCATAATTTGTTTTATTAAAATATCTTTTTTGAACACCCTTTGAAAATCCATCAGGGGTCATTTTGAAAGTAGCGGCTCTCGTCAATTTTCTCAACACCGAATTGTGTAATGAATATAATGAAAGATAATTTTACAACATTGGAACATAGCCAGAGCCAGACTCACCCCGATTAAGAGTGTTGAAAAGGTTTGTTGCAAACTTTTGCTAGAGCAAGAAGAAAAGTCGCCTCTTGTGAGTGTGACGGTAGCCAATCACCATCCATTGGGAACAGTGCGAAAGGCGTCATGGCGATTTTCTGACGTTTCAAACATGGCTGTATAACTACAATAAACGCGTCAGCGGTATCTGAAATTCACTCTTAACTTCAAAATTTGCTAAACTAATTTGATCGTCTTTGAGCTTTCTGATTCAAAACGTTCATCGACAGCTAAACTCCCAAAGAACGTATCTCATTTGCACTGTTCAAAAATCTCCGCTCCTACTTTATCTTTTGATAGAAGAACAAATCAACATCATTCCTTGAAATTTCCTCAGAATTTGCTCTGGATTGGAAAAAGCACGCAAGTTTTTAAGAATTGACGTTGAGTAGTTCCCCAAGTAAAAAATTTCGTAAAACGGAAAGTTTGCAACGTCGTAAACCGAGATCGTGCAAAAACATAATTTTACATGATTGACGACTCACCCCGTTTTCACAGCCTCCCGCAAAATTCAAAATGATTGCCAACACTTGCAGCAGTTTCTTCTTCTTCTACTGTAAAGACAAACAAATTTATAAACGAAATTCATCCCAGATCTTCAATTGCCTGCTTTTTAAGTTAAGTATAATACGTAGAAGCACGTTTGTGCATATTTTTAATTATTTAGGGATCGCGTCACATTACCAATCTCGCAAGACCACCTCTATAGTTCCACTCGGAATTTTGAAGCGGGCATTATTCCTTTTTATGGAATTATATTTTTGGGGTTGTATACTTTTTGAAGCGAGAAACTACCAGTATGCAATTTCTAACGCAGATTATAAAGTTAATAGTGGATTTCAGACCTTTTTGACGCGCCAATCGTAATTTGTGAGGCATTATCTGGAAGAAATAACTTTTTTTCGCCCTAGACAGAGGGTCTCCATGGGGAAGTAGAGATACTTTCAGATGTGCATAGGGGTTAAAGCTTTGCTTGGGCGCTTTGAATTGCAGGCACGAGCCGACCTGCGCGCGGCACCAATCGCGACGCCGCAAGAGCTCGCTCACCCGCTCGCCAAGCACGGCCATGCTCGAAGCCTCCTTGGCCTCCCTCCACTCCAGCGGAAGGGATTCCGGCCTCGGGAAAAACATGGGCCGCTGTCCCTGCGGCCACTCTGCCACCCACTCCTCGGCCAACAGCAGCAAGTAAGATATATCCCATCCCTTTAGCAATCCAACTCATCGGGAGAAATTACACAGGGTGTCCCAGGATTAAGTACGAATATCGGAGGAGTCGATTCTTTGAGCCAAAAGACGACGTTTTTGTGGTATAACTTTTTTTCGAAAAACGCTTTCGAAAAACGCCCATTATCCCCCGTTTATCAGCTCTTATTATTCCCTATTAGTCCCTATTATCTCGAAAACGACGAGTTATAGCGAAAAAACGCAGGAGACATTTTCTCAATATTTTTCAACGCTAAATCTTGTCGTGCCGTCAAAAATCAATTTTTGTCGCTATAGGAACATTGATTTTGGCCACTTTTAGGTTCGGTGCCCCCCTAAACCCCCCTCAAAATGAGTTTTACCCTTTTGGAGGTCAAAAATGAAAAGAAAGCTAAAAATTGCTCCCAGTTTGCAATTTTCATTAATATTGGTTGATAAACATTGTCGCAGTGTTAAAAAGACGATTTTTTCCCTCCAATTTTGGGGAGTCGTGGCGCCCAGAGAAAGCGCTTTTGGAAAAACATTCATACCACAAAAACGTCTTTTTTGACCCAAAGAATCGACTCCTTCAATATTCGTATATAATCCTGGGACATTCTATATTGCAGAGGACATAGGTCATGTCTAGGAAATATGTATTCAAGTAAAGATACCATAAGGGTTTTAGGGTAAATCATAAATGCATAACGCTAAAAATCAAATTTTTTTCCTTCCTCCAAAAAGCACACGTGATGCAGGTCACATGAATAATGAGTAGGGTAACTGTGACGGCCCAAAGTGGATCGAGTCAATAGGAGAGGTTGGACAACATTTGGAAGCTTTAAAAGCTCATAACTCCGTTCATACAAAACTTTGAGGTTCATTGGTTTCCTCGTGAACTTTTCTTCTAGAGGTACTCTTTAAAATTTAAGATGTGACAAAATAAGCATCACATTTTGCTGTATTAGTCAAAAGTTTCATGTCCGACCTTTCTTATTGACTGGATCCACTGTGCGGCCTAGCTCGACCGAGGCCACCAATGCCACTTTGCAGCCCTCTCGCACAGAAAATGGTAACCGCGCTCATGAATTCGGCCTTATGACTGTGCAAAGAGAATTTTGCTGATTAATTCAAGAGGTGGGCTTCTCCAGCTGGGAAGCTTTTTATGAATACCAGCATGCATTTGGACAAAATCAAATAGTGACCATCTTAAAATTTCAAGTCTGTGAGTAAGTTTTGTGGGAACTGAGAGTTGCGAATTTCATTTAGGAGAGGGCACATTATTTAGGAAAAAAGTTGAGTAGTAAAGTTTACTGAAACCGTACTTGGCAGATATTTTAACTGAACGCTTATGGTCTTGATCGATGCTTTGAATTTCTAATGCATATGCTTTGAACACGCATTTTCTATTCCCTAAATTTCTATTGTTAACGCGGTTTTCGGCGTGAGTCTCTGTAATGTTGATGGTACTCCTTTTTTTGGCATAGATAAGAGATTGTAGACTGATAGTTAGAGAAATGGATTTGGTTGAAAACGATAAGTCCTATACAAGATCTAACTCGGGCGATACATGGCCCCTGCGGTTTGTGCGTTAATGCACACTTCATAAGACTTTTTATTTGGCGTGAATGAAGGATAAGTATTTACTTGCAAAGAAAAAATTATCATCGAGGAAAAACCTTGCAACTCATCTGAGCATCTTCGGAAAACAACACTTGAATTTAAAATCCTAAAAAAATGTCCATGCAGCTTTTACTTTGCGTGCCACTAGTTTGAATTATCTCTAGATTCATTTTCCCAGCCATCCAAACTTTAACAACATCAGAACATTTTAAATGATGTAGGTAGTGAAGTTTGATTTTCAAAGGAACGACAGATAATTCTTTCCCTTTGAATTTGATAATATTTTAACAATGACATGAAGTACATTTGGATTATACTCAAGGTTTCTATTGCCCTTTGAATTTCGAAGTTTTCTTTTAGTCTGACCATGACATGTTCCAAAATACTTTCTTCTTCTTTTTTTTTCAAAAGGACGCACGTATTTTTCCCCTTTTTTAGTACTAGTGTGAAACCGACTTTTAATCATACTTTGAACAATTCTAACCGATGGAATAAATTACAAAGGAACATGGAATAATTTTACATGGGCGTAATATGCGAACGAGTATTGGAATGAAGGACAGACTTTTCAATAATTTTACTACGACTATGGTAATTTAATCATCACTATCCAGCGCAAAATGAATACATATAAGTCTGGACAATTTTCTAAAAATTTCCTTCCCATGTACATTTAAATCCTTCTGTTCAAAGTATTCAATGAAATTTTCAAGTTCACTGGAAAAAAAACACCTAGAGTCCAGACTCTTAAAAACATCGACAAGAAAAAAGACTCTTGATTCAATCGGATTTTTTCTTCAATCAAGAACCAATCCTCTTAATTTGAGCGGATTTCCTTTTGGTTTAAGCAAATGAATGATTATTATTTATAAGAATGATTATTAATGATTATGAATGATTATTATGAATATTTCCTTCTGATTGAATCAAGAGTAATTTTTCTTGTCAATATTTTCAAGAGTCTGGACTCTAGATCCAATGTGTTGTTTTTCCAGTGTAACGTTGAACGTTGGCTAAATTTTTGTAGAGGGATTTCCATATGTTGTGTATAACTATTCTGGGATTTTTGGTGGGTGGTCAATTCACTGTAAGAAACCTCTCCCATTCATGTACACGGGCCTCTATGTATTTTTCTGTTTTTCAGCGGGAGTTACGAAGACTCGCTGAAGTCCTTGAATCGGCAGCACAGTCACAGCAGTGGAAGCGGAGGGGGTTGTTCCCATGATCGATCCCACGACCGATCCTTGATGAGGAGACAACATCAGTACAACACACCCTCCCTCACCCGGAGACCCAGCGAGAGAATCTTAGTCTGCCCAATTAACAATTAGTCTTCTTAATTTCCGGGACAGTTCGTCGTCTCATGCACTAGGGGACGTAACTTAATTGAATCAGTGAGAACGAAAACATACCAACTCGAAGAAATGAAAATAATCAAGGCCCACACAAAACTGCGCAGTGCGTGAATAAGTTAGTCTAAGAAAAATAATTTTGGTGCCGAAAGACAAGTACTTAAGGATACTTTAAAGGTCCAAGTTGGAACAGATGCGCTACCTTCAATGACTTATGAAAATTGACCGTCTTTAATACAAATTGAGCATTTTCGAATTACGAGTAGGTGTGTTTTCGTTCTCACTGATTCAATTCCAATGTTGCCAAATTGACTCAAACAATTAATTTATTTTACAATGTTGTACCTGACCAATTTTTATGAAAAATGTTTCCGATTTTTGCATGAAATATGAGGAAACATCAGTGAAATTTTCTGTTAGGAATCCGCAAGATTCTTCTAGCGATTGTGCAATTTGTGAGGGGAAATTTGGCAACATTGAATTCGAGTTATGTTCTTTTGTGTGGGAAATGACGAATTATCTCATGCTCTAGGCTCAGATTGGTATGTCATAAAATTTCACGCTTTTTTGAAAAATCACAATTAACACGGCAGTCACGTCGATCAAACTCAAAATTTGCCGCTGAGCCCGGAAAATTTTGAGATTTGAGAGCTGAAGAAAACCTGATCCAGCGTGAATGATCGATTTTTGATATTCTCCCATTTAAAGCTATAGTAAAGAATCAATTATCAAGGTGTTCGTCGCGAACACCCCATTAATCGATCCTTTTCCATAGGTTCAAATCGCAGATCAATCGATAGGTCGCAAAGCACGCCACGCCGCTGATCTGATTGTCACCAATGCTCATAGCCGGGTAATATTCATTCATTTCACATGGGATAAAACTACCGGGAGTTTAAAGACACTCCTTCTTGACACACATCAGAACAAGTTACTGGGACTTTGAGAGAGCATTTACGAGTTGGTGCGATATTCTCGCAATGTCCCATTTAAATGTAACAAGTTACGTTAAGACCCTGTAACAACATTTTTAGGGATCAAAAGTTTAAGAGTAAGTTTACATACTTTTTTTTTAGAAAATACGTGCCGCAAATCATATTCGGTAATTAGTAAGTAGTTCCCGCGAAGAGTGGAAAACAATGTCAAAAATATACCAGTTGTATATAACTGCATTGACAGTTATAACAACAATAACTACAGTTGAGTTTTGGATCAAATGCTCAAGTTTTTTTTGGATGTGACTGCCGTTTTTTTTTAAATATTTAATATGATTTGAATGTGTGAATTCCTCATTGAAGCCAAACCAAAGAGCTATGAACGTTGAGCATAATGTCAGAGACAAGTATGATTAAGTTGTTGCGATGCAAATAGTAAATCGTGATAGCCGGTGGATATCAAAAAATGCGGCTTTCAGGTAATTAAATGTTATCGGAAAAGTGTTAGTTATGTGCCAACAAGTTTCGTACAAAGTTTATGAAATAATTGGCTTAACAATCTCTGTCTGCGACGTTAAATGAAAGTACCCTCGCATTTGGTCATTGAGGGGCCGTAGCTCATACTTTTGTTGTACTCATTCATGAATTAGGATAAGTATTCCCCAATAGCTTGTGATCTTTTGCTCACAGCTATAGGAGTCTCGTTAATAAGCCTATCCTGAACGTATGTTCTATCCATTCGTAAAAGCATATCAATCCATATTTTTTCACTCATGATTTCAGGTCATTATGAGTTGGAGCTTTCCGTAGTATTATTTCAAATGCAAGAGATCCTAATGTATCAATTAAATATAATTCATATATATTAATAATAATGTAATATATTACATGAACAATAATAATATAAATATTATATTAATATAATGTAAATATTAATATTGTTCGTCCACGGGAAAAGGGATACCTTAACTATGGGAGTGGGATAACTGATAATCCCGATTAAAAATTTTGGACAACTGACGACCCTGAAACTGAAATGCAAACTGCATGTAAACCCACGCTGAAGTCTTTTACTTATCTCATGTAAATATATGATAAATTTTGTAATGGAAGAGACTGTAAATTTGTTATATTCAAGTAGTCCTATTTCTTGAATATAGCGAATTGCAATCTCTATTTTTTTTTCTAGAAACCCATTTTTTGAACAGCTGACTAGAAGTTGCCATAACTCCCGTTTGGTTTTGGGAGTTTTGTTTTGTAGCAAAATGTTTGTGAAGTACTCCTTCGCACTCTCATGTGCATGCTTCGTTTTAGTTTTGAGGACTATGGTCCCTTTGCCCACGGACCCATACTAATAGTATACTGAAGAGCCTTCAAACACTATCGTTTGCTAAAGTCGTGAGGTAGAAAAGTTAGGTTGATGTTGTCTTTTACTTTTAACGTCCAGTTTAGGCTTATTGACCAGTTAGGATAGATAATACATTTATGTTTAAGTCTAAATGAAAATACCCATCGAGAAGACTGTTACAGTAGGGAACTCGTTTGAGTTTTTATAGTGATACCTGATTCACATTGCTTTTCAGTTTGTCATACTAATGGAAAAGTAAAGTTATTGCACTCTTAGAATATGTGCATTAGTATAGGTGAATCTAAAATCAGAATCAATTACAAGAAGAAAACGTGAAAAATGAAAAAATACTGACACCATTGGGTTCTTTGTTTAATTAAAAAGGTTTACACATTTCAAACTATCCTCCTCTCCCTTCGTCTTATTTTAGTTTGCCTTCTCCTTTTTAAAGGCTCAGTTTTCCGAACTGGAGCTTTCAATACCTTTCCATGACTACAGTAAGACTTGCTCCATTCATTCGACCGTGAGTGGTAATGAGAAATGTTTTTAAAGAATCGAGAGAAATGGGAGACGAATAGAACAATGAAATCGTGCATGGTTATGTTACTACCCAATTGTTTACTTTAAAGAGGTGCTTATTTGTATGTATTCTATGAGAGTATGATTCGTTTAATTTAACATAGCAAAATAATCAAATCGGTTTATCTTGAAAGCCAAAGAAATTCAGATTGATGAGTCACGACGCTTGGTGTTTCGTCATCAGTTGGTGGAATCATCAATCTATTTTGAATCTGTCATGACGGTGAATTATGTCGGATTTGAGGTTGTAAATATATGAGAAGTATGTACTTTTGAATGCCTTATGTAAAGATTTGTATAGCTCATGTTATCACTAACAAACTGAATAGGGAACTACATTTTAAAGAGTGTTAAACCATGTATTCATGTGTTCAAATACTCGTTTTTCATTAATGTAATTTTTTAACTACTTTCCTTTAATTTATTGACTTTCTCGTCAGGAGACACACATGAAGGAGTGTACATGGGTTTTGAGAGTTTTGTTTGAATGCGATGCATGAATGTGTAATAGGAATTAGTTAATTTGTCCCTCTCTTAGAATGACGTCATATCATTAATTATGTAAGCGATGCTCCATTAACGCGTTAATAATAATCATCGTTGAGCCAAAAATATATACCTATAATGTGCTAAATAGAGGCAATGGTGAGAAATTGCATCTGCCTTGTTAGGTTGCCTCATCATTCAAACATGCAACAATTTTACATGAGGTTAACGATGCGCTATCCTTCTAAATGTAGTAGTTTGAAGTTATTTCAGCAGTGTCATACGTAGGTACTTTTTAAGTGTTTGTAAAAGTGTAGGCAATAATTTTATTGTTATTTGTTGTGCCACTCTTTTGTGAAAGTTTTATTTTATTTATGTATTTTTTAAACAAAATTTTCAACTAAAAATTATTTATTTCTGTTTATTTTTAGTCGTAATGCTAGTACCTAATTTTGAAAGACGCATAGTTACTCATGTATAATTTAATTTGCTCAGTTCAAGAATTACGTTAGAGTACTAAACTAAGTACTCCTGAAAACATTTGATTAAGCATCTATTTGAAACGTAAGTGTAAATATAAAATTTCAATATTTTTATCTCAGTCTCTTTTTACTGCTTTCTCCTCTCTCTGTCCTCGTTACTCATACCTAACTGTCACAAAATATGAAGGCTAATATTAGCTTCCTTCTAATTTCAAGCGATGGAACAAAAATAAGAGTTCCAAGAGTAAAGCATGGACAGGAAAATTCATGAAGGAAGGTGAAAAAACTGCGTACAAAAATTAATATAATAAATAAGTTCACTCAACTATTTCTTCAATGATTTGATGTAATCAAAAGGTGACTTTCTGTTAGTGGATTTGGATTACAACAAAACGAAAATCCCTTTGCCTTGCGCCTATAAAATTCGGTTTTCATGCTGCCAGCAATGAGGACCACATCCAAAATTCTTGATCCACCTCAAGAGGTGGGTCGAAAAGGGAATGGATGCAAACGTTAGCCAAAATTCATCGAGCAGCTGACTTTAATTCTTGACTTCAACAAATCATTTTTCTCCTGCTTTAGTTTGCAACCCTGCCGATCTGTTTGAAAAAGTCGACCAAATCCACTCCTGTAAATTCGCCCAGGTAACTTCAATAGAAAATGCATTACATTTTCCGTGGTACTAAATAAATACGAACGCTTCCAGCTAAGGACAGGGGAAAAAAAAAAAAAAAAAAAAAAAAAAAAAAAAACACTTGGGAGTTACCAAAAATATCGTGCTGTAGTTTTGCCCCCTTTTGCACAGTCCCGCTAAGGAATATACGCTAATGCTTCCTATTAATAAATGTCTCTCATTCTGTTGAGTTGGCCTTCAATAATCGTGATGGCAATATGAGCAGCTTGGGAGCACGACTATGATTGATTCTCCGCCCGTGATAAGATATACAATAATAAAACAAATTACGCAGCGGGTAACAAGGGTAATTTTCAAGTAAATATCACCAAAATGTTTCGGCTGAAAACTCAGCCCTCTTCAGATGGATAAAACAGTAAAAAATTGTAAAAATCTGAAAACGTAGTACTTGACTGTACCTTTCAACGCGAGAACATCTCGCTTTGAAAGGCACACAACAACATTATTGTTCTCGCTTTGAGAGGTACAGTCAAGTACCTACGTTTTTTAGATTTAATGTTAACAAAAGCAAAAGGATTCCTACGCATCATTTTGGTTTTCTTTTTCTATCGTTATGTCTACCAATTTTAACAATCAGCCGGCTGAGAACTTTCCCTGAGTATCTCTCACCTTGAAGTTGCTTGGAAACAAACCGTCGTTCGGATCTAAAACCCAATCACTCATCCCATTTCCCCGATAAGAGCCCGGAGCAGGGCGCTTGAGTATTTACACGGGTACGGTGGCCCAGCGGAGCGGGGGTTTTCGATAAGTAGTCGGTAAGGTGGCAGGGTTGAGGAGCAATCAAATCTCTTTGAGGCGGGTAAAGGTGGCGGCGGTGGATGCGGTTGTGAATGTGGGTGTGGGGGTGGACGAGTAAGTTTAACTTCGAGTTGGGTTCCTTGATTTAGATTCGGAGGAAGCGAGAGGCGGCCGCACAGTGGATCGAGTCAATCAGAGAGGTCGGATATGACATTTTTTACTAAAACTGCAAATTTTGATGTTTAATTAGTCACATTCTAAATTTGAGGGGTGTTTCTAGAAGGAAATTTCACGAGGTAACCAATGGAACCACTTTTAGAACCACGAAAATTTGTATAAACGGAGTTAAAAGCGCCAAATTTTGTCCGACCTCACCTAATGACGCGATCCACTGTGGGCCGCACCACGGCACTACCGCAGCCTCCGCGTCCTATGCAGTCACGCAGGTGGATCTGTGCGAGCGAGGCTCCTCTGAGACACCGCACACGAGTGTCGAAGTTGTACATTCAAGACAAAGTTTTGTTAATGATTGAATCGTCGTTAAAACTTAAAGCGTCGTTGTTTGCTGACCTTTTTTTTTTTTAGAAAAATTAAATCAAGTCTGTTTTTTTGAGTTGAAGAAACGTTTTTTTCCCATCGCTTTTTTAACTTAAACTTGACGATACCAAAACAACGTTTCTTTGACTAAAAAAAACTGACCTTGACTTTAAAAAAAAAAAAACGAAAAAAAAAATGTCGGCAAGAAACTACGCTTCGAATCAAAATAATTTCTTAGGAAATTTGTTTCTCATTGACGGTAATTATAAAAAGGGGTCATCGGTCAAATTTTGACGAACTGGGTTCTCTACGAGAGACATTATAAAAATAAAAAATCGGTAAATAAAGGACTCATCAAATTGATAAAACCAACATTAAAATATTCAGTCATCTTCAGGAGAAGAGAGCCAACTTTGTGCTCATCTCTTAGGCGGTTGTCCAGGTAATATTTTCCTTAAGAGTTGTAATTTCAAAATTTAGCATTTAAATGCAATTCACAAAAACTAATCGCTGTTACATGCTTTTTCAAAACAGATATTGTCACCTTCCGGCCAAAGTATCGCATAAGCGCCATGTGACGTTTCAAAATTTCCGTCGCCATTTTATTTGTTTACAAAAAAGTTTTTCAACAAAGTTGTCCGAAAATGTCACTAAATTTTCTTTGTTTATATGTAAAGTCACTCTTACGACCTACTCTGGCGTTCTGCGACACCCAAACGCCACATATGCCTTTCTTTCCAGAGGTTATCGGGCAACCGACACCGCAACATCTCTTCGTCAACGCCCTGCCGCCATCCCTTTACGAGACGTCCCCGTCGCCTTTTATCAGGTGGTACCCAATCTAAAACTTGTTTGGGCAACCTCTCCTCCGACATTTTTGCACATAAAATGTGCATAGATGTGCAATGCGCATTTACAAAGAGGCTCCACCCGACACAATGGCCAAATGTCATTAGTGGCCGTTTTATTTTCGTTTTTTGTTTTTTTTGTTACCTATTTGTCTGTTGTTATCTGCTGTTTACTAAAACGAGAATAAATTCAAAGTCGAATTCGAATTTCTTTGTGCTGCCGATAAAATTCAGTGGAATTTTCAAACAGATTCAACCAAAAATTTCTCTGTAAACAAATTAAATGGACCACGTTAAACAGAAAGGAACCAAGCCACATCAGCTACTGCCAAATTTAACAGAGAAATTTCATTTTTTACGAGAGAACGTCTGTGCAGATTCCTTTGAAAATTTTAAGGAATTTGCTTAGTATTATAGAGAAAATTCACTGAAATTTTCCACAAAAATCCGCACAACCGTTTCCATGTAAAAAATTAAATTTCCCGATTAAGTTTGGCAATAGCTGATGTGGCTTGGTTCCTTTCTGTTTAACGCGGTCCAAATGGTGGTGGAAATTTTGGAACATCGTATGGCGCTTGTGATACTTTGACAGAAAGGTGATGATATCCAGCTGAACGGAGTTTTGTTTTTTTGATGGGCTGATCCCCAGTTTGACAAAACGATCCCACAGTGCGGTGTCCGACACACGGCTGGTTGGCTAGGGAGCGCTGGCAGGGGCGGGGGAGGGGGTTGGGAAGGCAAGCAAGTGGCTGTGTAAGTAGCTTAGCCGACGTGTGCCACCGCTAGGTAGCTCCACCGCTGCACCCGTTCCCGATCCCGAGTCGGGCTTCAGTTCATGTCCTGGACGTTTCCGGTCAAGTGCTACTCTGTGCGACCGCCGATCGCTCCTCAAGATTCCCAGTTCCTGCTTCAAATCCACCCGGATTACACTGCAACAACAGACATCGTGCCGTGGATGTGAGTTTCTTGTGGCAAGTGAATATTCAGTGTTGTGCTGCAATGTGCCCGCGAGCCCCCCGCCCGTCGGGGTTCGGTCCATCGTTCTCCCGTAAGAATCGATGATTCGGGTTATCAATCCGTGATTGTATGTATGTTTTCGCGTGCGTGATCGTGATCTACTAATAGTGCTGTGATATGTGGCCCGTTTGGATTACATTCTTAACTGTACAGGATTACACTTTGGATACCCATAAAACCTATTAAAAGGTATGTAAATTTCGTCATTTAACGTCAAAAGTATGCCATGGCTGAGGCTATGTACAATCTTGTGAAAAAAGATAAGTCTCACCAGAGGATTGCGCATCTCCTCTTACACTGATATTGTACGGATTTGTCATTTTCACCGGTAAAAATTTGGTGTTTTGGATGGGGTGCGAATTACAAGAGACTGTCAAAATGTAAATACAAACAAGTTAAGTGCTTCGATACGGGAGGCGAAAGTTGGGTTTCCTCAGTTGAATCATTTCATCTCACTATTAGCAGAACCAAAATATGGTTACTTTCACGAGTAATTGAAAAGAAATTGGAGAGAGCATCAATGCTACAGATGTCTGTGATTTTAAATACCAAGGTCTTAATTATATGTAATCGAATCCGAGTAACTGGCAGCTGAAGGGTTTCAAAGAAGCAGCTACGAATACAAACATGTATCAATTTTTACTAATGAACCATAAGTTTATCTCTGTCAAAACAGTAAAGTTATATGAGTAAGTTTGTACTGAAATATTTTGCATCATAACCCAAACACACAGTGAAGTTTCAAGTTGGACATTTGAATCTGGAAAAATTTCCATCGATGGCACTATCCCTATTTCTGAGATACTAATAAGTCGGTAAAGGAAAATTTGAATTACATTCGATATAACCGTTTTTATTCAAAACCTTTGCAGAAGAAAAGGCTCCGTGTAACTCCATCGAAAGACGAAGACTCGAGAAGTACACGGCTCTTTTTTAAACCAAAAGGAATCATTGTCCTTGTTGGGTCCTCTAAGATTATGATCAAATATTCAACGAAAATCTTGCATATTTTGACATTGCGTCGCAAATTTCTGAAATTATTGGGAACAGACATCCTCCAAATTAGCAATCTTCGATATTTTTACCGACCAAAACATAGACTGCAGTTATGAGAAGGATACAGAAGGAAGAAAGAATATACATGTTTCAGAGACTTTAACGCGAGGGTAGAAAAGTATGAAAAAAAAAGACAAATCTTTATTCGTAGCTCTAACTCAATTCGTTTAAACGCAGGGCTCGTAGGATTTCTTTTTTATGATAAATATTATGTATAAGCAATGAAAGTCCTACCATACATTTAAAATTTCTTGTGAAACCACATCAGTTCAGGGATCAGGGATCACTACCCAGAAAACTCTGCCCGAAACATTTATTTTCCCATTTTTTGTGTTCAGCACGGAAGTATTAAAAACAAATGGGATGGATGGTTTCATATCACATAACTTGAGGAAATAATCAGTACTACTTTAATTATGATGTATACCTCTAAAACGATCTAGTTTTTCTGCCCTCATTTAATGGCAAGGCGGCTGGCAAATAAAAGTATAGAAATAAATAAGAAGAAAAAAAACCTTAATGAAAAACCAGAATAAATCTCTAGTTCAGCTTTGCATGATTCCACCAGAATAAGTGTTTTTACTTTTCCTCCACCAATGATAAAATTAATAGACAGCAAATTACTAGCATGAGAAATGACAATTATCGGTATGGAGTCGAGAGTTCAGTCGGCTTTCCAAAACTTACGTTAGTGGTAGTTCTTCCCACCACCACGTTCTATCTTGGAGTAGCGAGCAAGATTTTCCGGGAATCGGAATGAAGATCAAATTCAAATTTACTCTTAAAAGACTTCTTTCTTTTAACACCGCGCCCGAAATATTCCGAATTTTTCAAAAAGCTCTAATGCAGGAAATTTGCCAACACAATCTGAAGACCATGGGGTTTCAATCGCAGCGAGTCAAAACAAGTCGAACAGGACTTACTGCTAGAGCATGTAAATACGTAAAATCTACTACGCAAAAACGACAACGTAGTAAATACGAGGTGGTTCAGATGGTTCGGTTTTATCCGCTGGCCGAGCTAACCGCAAAAGCAATCTTAATTGGCTCTCCGGTTCTTAACCGAGCCTTGCTCAATAGTGCAATCGTGTTTATGACGCTACCACCAAGTCCAATAACAGATGTGCGAGTTCTAGAAATCAGGTCTGATATTCTGGATTTAATAACTTCACTACACCCATCCTCCCCGTACCGCAGAGTAAGTGCAAAACGCTGGTGAAAACGCCTCAGCGGTTTCGTTCTTGTAGGAAACCGAGGTGCCTGAATGCAATCGATACTCTCATTGAGTTCGGTAACTGCGTGATCACGGTAGATAAGCATTGTTCCTGATGTCAGTCGTTAAATTTTGGTGACACCTTCATCGGCCCAAAAAACCAGAAAGATCCATGACCTCCCGGGGCCTCCTTCAACTTGAGATTTCGATTTTTCAAAGGACTAATCAAACTACATTCTGCAATATGGAGCTAAAATTTCTGGCTCATCCGTAAAAACACTCGTCTGCATAAGGAAACTAATGGTATACTTACGTTGCTTGTAAACTGAGCCAGATACTGTAGTTCCATATCGCAAAATGCAGTCTAATTTGTCGTTTTCCTCACGGAAGAACATAACCTTTTTCCAATGTTGCCAAAATTCCCTCGTAAGTTGCGTATTAACCAGGAAAATCTAGGGAATTTCTAAATGAAAATATCAATGATTTTTCCTCAGATTTCATGCAAAAATTAGAAAATTTTGGGGTAAAAATTGCACAGGCACATTTTTGTAAGATAAATTCATTGTTGGGGTCAATTTGGCAACCTTGGAATGGAGTTACGTTCCTTCGCCTGAGAGATGACGAGTATAGTTTCCCCAATTTTCGAGAATAACCATTTATCATGAGTTTAGGTTGTTTAGGTTCATAATTGTTGTAAAAATGCAGAATAAAATGTATGATTTTCCCCAAAAAATCGGGAAGGTACGAGCACCGCTGGGTCCCCGCAAAAAAACCTTGTCCTGACACATGAAACAAGTTCAGCTGCAACCCCTTAAACACGTGAAGCCGCAATACTCATGGTGCGTACACGCGTAAAAATTTGTAATTAAGGTTACAGGCTCCTAGCCTCAGATTATCCAACGCTCAAGGATCATTTTAAAGTCACCTGATACCTTAAGTCCCAATCTTTGCATGGTATGATTAGTCTCGTGACAAAATATCTCCGTTTCCCAAAGGTCAAAAACCTCGAGCGGTTATAGTCTTATTATAGGCTTATTAGTAGTTATCAGTATGTATAGTCTATATTTTAGTCTAGGGTAGGAATCGCAGCTCCATTAAAAGTAGTTTACATTAATTCGTGACGATATCTTAAACTAAAATATGAGTGTAAAAGTGTGAAATTAAGTAAAAAATGCTCCAGAGCGGTCCTTATTGAATTTTAAATTTTTTCGAGCTCCTAACAATCGTGAAGGAAAGCTTTTCAAGACAAGGAGCACCACTTGACAACACCGGAAGAGGAGCAGCTAAAGCTCCATTGTGGTGGGTATGTGCCTCTGAACGGTTGATGTTGCCGAAATTATAATCCAGTGGCGTGGCGTGCTTTGCAATCCATCGATATTTCCCCATTTGAAGCTGTGGTAAATAATCGATTTTTAAGGTGCTCGCTGCGAACACCCTGTTTATCGATACTTTTCCATAGATTTAAATGACCAGTCAATCGATAAATCGCCAAGCACGCCACGCAACTGTTATAATCATTATTTGGAATCCACATAAGTAGTCTTAACGACTCATATATATATATATATATATATATATATATAGACTGAGTTTATCAGAAACGCGTCGAGTCCAAATTGCAAGTCCAGATGCCCAAATTGTTCACATACAGTAGAGAGGAGCGATGCTTCCCTCGTCAACTCATAACTGATGAGTTATTAGTCAGTTGATATTGGTTGCTTCGCGTGCGAAAATGATGCTAACTCAAAAAAAATAAGTAATGAAATGTAAGAACGAGCGTGACAGATTACGACAGCCATTCTGTGTTCTTTTCGTTACAAGAAAGCCCATAGTTGGATGTATATGCTAAAAGGGACTAAGGACGGGTGGGAAAGAAGGATTGTGCTCGCTAATTAAGGGCCGTAAGAATGAATGAGAACTATAGAGCACCAGTGACGTTAGCGTCGACGACCGGGACAGGAACCCTATCCACAACGCTGTTGCCGCATATCCACGGCTCTTGAAGTAGCATATTTTGGCGCTTAGTTCCTTCCGATTTATTGTAAATTTCCACTTTTACATTGTTTCTTATGCAGCTGTTACGAGCACACTCCATCTTTTTTGCACCCATCTCTAGTTCATATTAGCATAAATACGTCCAGTTTGGCAAACGTTCGACTGTAATAATGGGATGAGTTCTTCTCATTATTTAAAATTGAAGCGAAAAACTCCAGTTAAAAATCTAATCCTGTGACTATCTCGTATTGGATGTTTTGTTCGGTTGCATGCGTGATGCCACACGCCACAACCACACGCACCTCAAATACGAAGCGTATCGACGGTGAAGCTACCATACCACGTATTTCGGTTTGCGACGTCGCAGACTTCCTTTCATACCATATTTGTTAAATAGAAAAATATTCAACGTCGAATCTTGAAAATTTCTGTACATTTTCTTCGCCGCGCGAGGAAAATTCTGTGAAAACTGGAAGGTATGACCTTGATTTGTTCTCCTCCAAAAAAAAATAAAACGGGAACGGAGATTTTTAAACACCGCAGACGAGATACGTGGTTTGGGAGTTCCGCCGTCGGTATCCTTTTCCCGTCGCATGACAGAACTGTTACGAGAGCTTGGAAATGAAGAGAGCTTTCAGGATCCGTACGAGTCGTGCGTGAAATCGAGTCGGTGGCTTTGCTGTGCGTCTGTCGGCATGAAAGAAGCCGTAATTGAGCGTCGGTAGCCCCCTGACCCGGTCGCCGGTCGTGCTCATACCAATGGGCCCGAGATCAATGTGTCCCGACTTTGCCAGACCGAGCGAGTCATGCCGCCTCTAGATGTGCACCGACGTAGAGAAATCCGGGGATTCTGGAAGTACGGCATCTCGCGCACCTGAGCACCCACGAACAATCGCGATCGATATCACGCGCGTGTCAGACGTGTGTTGTGGGTGTCGGGCGTAATTTTAGAAGGCTTGCCGCCGGCCGGAAGCCGGCTTTGACTGCCTGTCAAGCGATCGACTTAGGTAGGAGAGCCTAGGACTCCAGTTGGACGTATTTCTATCAAACGGAACTATGTGCATTAAGACGTGAGCCCTGAGACCCGTAAGAACACATGCATAACAGGGCTCACGTCATAATGCACATAGTTCCGTTTGACAGAAATACGTCCAGTTAGTAGTCCCTCAGAAATATGAGCGTGGAATCCTCCAAAGCGCATCTATTGCTTCTTACTTTTTTACTGCTGGCGTAGCTAGGGGGATGCTTGGGGTCCAGCCCTTCCAGAGAGATGACGACTGAGCCCCGAGAATCAGAGCCAAGTGGCGAGGCGTGAATGATCGATAATCGATTTTTCCCCATTGGAAGCTATTGTAAAATATCGATTATTTATGTGTCCGTCGCAAACACCCTGTTTATCGATCCATTTCCATAGGTTTAAATGGTAGATCAATCGATATGTCGCAAGGCACGCCACGCCACTGATGCAGCCGCTTAATAGGTACCGCATAGAACTCTCATGAAGAGTAAGTGACTTGAGGACTTTGCCCCCACCCCCCAAAAAATTGCCGCTTTAATATTTTTCGAATGACGTACATAGATTTATGGAATGATGGAGTGACCAGATGAGGCACACCTTAGAGAGAATATGTGAAGTCTTATCTCCTTCTCTCGCCTCATCCACGGCCTCGATGTTTCTCCACGAACAAGCTAATTTTGGGAAACTTTCATGGAATTTTTACTTTCCATAGACAAGGGTTTGGTTTTTTCTTCAGGGGACTTTCTCACACGGAAAAAGAGCACGTCGAGGTTGTTTGATGATATGGAAATTGCCAATTAGTTGTGGTAGTACCCCCATTAATTAGGTCACCAACTCAAATGTTGCGGCCTTATCCCAACTTGGCACTACCACATATTATTGCAAATGGCCATATCATCCAACAAATTGAGGTAGTACTACAATTTTAGGGAACAACCGCAAACACTTATTTTACGTGAAAGTGTCGTACTTCAATAATGCGCGCATAAAAACCTAACTCTTGGCTTGAATTTGTCAGAATCTAACTGAATGTGAGAGATGGTTGGAAATGACGCCGTTAGTCGAAAACGACTCACCTCCTTGTCAGAAATGGTCTTCCAAGATAGCGCATCGAGGAGGAGACGAGTGATGATGGTCTGGAGATTGAAGTCGGTGACTGTATCTCAGCAGACAACCTTGCTTCAACCTCATTGTTCTCTTGCGTTCCTCCTGCGCTATCGCGACTTTATTGTTGTCAAGTCCTGCTTTAAAAGCTTCGAATTTGACGAACTAAGGGAAAAGTTATGACAGTGCGTAGATTGTCTCTTTTCTGCGATAAAATTACGGTCACAAATTATTCCAAAGATTGTGGGGTTCTGCACTCAAAGTTTTTAACTTAAAATAAGTTCTAAATATGACTAAAAACAAATGTCTTCTGCTATTTCAAACACTTCTCATCGAAATGACCTACACTGAAAAAAACTTTTATAAAATATGTTTTTAAATGACAAATTTTTGGAGGTGAAGAGCAATTTCTTCATTTAAAGGAAGATGTTTAGATTGAGATATTCTTTTTCAAATTTTTTTTTTTAATGAAAGGAATGTGACTTTGGGGCCATCCCTGAAATACCTAACGCTCCAAAGGGGGGGCGTCTTTGTCACCGTTACGCGGTGTTACAGGGGGCGGGGAGAGGAGGTAAAGAGCGAATCGTTAGGTGACGAGTTTAAGTGATTTTCTCGAGGATCTGTGGAATGTATCATCGATCGTCTTCAGAAGTTTTAAAGAATCTCGAAAATATTCTCTGTAATACTTTTACTTTTCCTCACTACATAGAAACGCCAATCTTTCAATTAAAAGTAAGGTGATATTTAGAATATTTTTTATCGAAATGGGGGGAGGGAAGGTCCGGAAAAGCGTTACGTAATTTTTTAGGGGGGGTCTAGCACAGTGTTAAGGAGCGTTCAGGAGAGTGGGGGTGTAAAAAACTCGCAAATTTAGCGTTACGGTCATTTTTTATGACAACCCGCCATTTCTCCCAGGAAGGGGGAAGATGCATCAAATTCAAAATCACGGATGAATTTTCGCTTGAACTGGCGACACAGCGGAGAGTGACTTGGGCGAGAGCGTCGAGGCCTCTCTCTTAACGCCGATTGTTTGTTTGCATTGACCGATATTGGTAGACTCGAGTCGAAACTAACTTTCGCACTTTCCGCCGATGATTTGCTGGGGAACAAGAGGCCCCATTCATTTGTCAACAGCTCTCACTGCTTCGTCACAGGCGGCCTCTTTTGATGGCAATACCTCGTCCTGGGCTCTTCGATTGTGACTTCTACTTCTTGAGAAAAAGCGTAGCCACCTCGTCTGAACATGCGACAGACTGTCTGGTGACTTGACGAAGATATTCGCCACGAAAAAATTCAAAGAAGACTTTCAACGTTCGATGGAGATTGAAATGACCACGGACAGAAAAGCTTAGTAAAAAGATGATGATGTGAAAATGTCCTCAACCAAACCCTCATTTTGCCTCTCTTCTCGTGTGGAAGAAATGCTCGGTTTTCTAGCTGTTTTTTTGGTGTTCAAGAATTAGAAGCATCATAATTGCCTTCAATCTCACTTTTTATGAGTTCCTTACTAACGCTAAGGAAGAAAATGATAAGAGAGGAAGATTCTTTTCTGACAGATATTACTGATTCTAAAACTCTTCCTCCAGCGCAAAGGTATGCGACAGGGCCGGATTCACCTACTTGCCGCCCATGGGCCGCCTGTATTTTGTCTCATTCGTTTTGAAACATCAATAAAAACCATCAAGTGAACGTGCCAGCGGGGGTGGGGTGCATAAGACGCGTTTACTCGTGTTGGAAACATTTTTTGGGAAAGCCCTGTCAGCACTATTAGCAAAAATTCACCGAACTTTGCGCGAACGTTAAGTTTCGTAAACCTATCTCTGCATGGACAAGGCCTTCCATTCATAAGAAATGAACGAAAAAAGTATGAAAGAACAAACATAAATGTGGTTTAATGATTTTAACTTCCGCCACCGCGCCGCGCAGACCGCACCGTGTTTGGAGCAATGCGTGAAGTATTTCGACAGTTTTGTAGGTGCCATGAGTTTCACGCCGACGACCGCTGCTGAACGCACTGTGTTTGACGCAATGCGTGAAGTATTCACGCAGTCTTGTAAGCGCTATGCGTTTCACGCTGACCGCAGTGTGTTTGATGCAATGCGTGAAGTATTCGTGCAGTCTTGTAGGAATGTAGGCGCTAATATGTGTCAGATGCCGACCGCCGAGGGCTTCTCCTTTTCATCTCAAGTCCTCGTCATCATTTCTCTCTCAGTTGCGCCGTTCCTGGCTAAATTGCGTGTTTGGTCGCTCTCCTAACTCGATTAATTAAAGGTGCTGTCTCTTGTATCACCGAAAGACGACAAAATTAGAAATTGCTATACTCTCAGGAAATGAGAGATTTTGTTTGTAATTTTTTTCTAAATCCGATTTTTCTTTATACGTACATTTAAAAATATTGCAAAATTTGTCCCCTCCTAGATTACTACTAGCATACTATGCGAAGACACTGCTACGACGGTTTCGTCACAATTTTGATGAGCGAGTAAACCAGTAGACATTATATGGGTGATCATTCCACTTGTTATAATTTTGCTTTTGAGGTCTCATATTTACTTTCCATAACGGATTTTTCAGGGTTATTTTTGAACTCAACATCAGGATAAAGAATAGTCACTAGAAAGCTTTTGGAGATTCATACGATCTCATTACGATTTTCATTCCGATCATACGAGAATAATTGAGGAATCGAACGCACTTTCTCGTATAAAATATTCAATTGTTTGGCATTTTGCATGCTTCGAATAGAGTGTTTTCTTATCCGTAGAGAAAATACCGACGGTGGTGATACGGTAGTCACTTCCAGATGCAGTTGTGACTGGGAGATGTAATACAAGCCAATGCCAATTAGAATTGGAGGATGTTTGCACGGAGCAAAGACTGCTTGGCACCAACGTGATACATCTTTGTCAGAGTTTTCATTAGACCTTCACTCGCTCGATGTGACGCAGAATTAAATATATTTCGGCTGCAGCCATTTTGAAATTTTGTGTTTGTCGGGTGGACATAGATGACACAGCGACGAGACATGGTGATTGGTCGGCTATGTCTCTATGTCTTATCGCTGCTTTATCGTGCCTTTGTCAGGTGGAATAGACGGTTGACGCATATACAGACGCATATACTGTTGGATATTTAAGAGGTGCCTATAGCATGTCGAGTGTTCCATCCGACATAGGCACGACAAAGCAGCGATAAGACGTAGCCGACCAATCACGCTCCGCCTTTTAACCTATGTCACCTATGTCTACCCGACAAACACAAAATTTCAACAATCAGGCTCCAGCGGGCCGATTATTGAAATTGCTAGACAAAGCTATAAACAAAGAAGACAAAAGAGTTACGGAGGGATCCTATTGGTGGAGGCGAATGGTTGCAATGGACAAAGGGGGTGGGTAATAGACTAACTAACGGCAACCCACGAGAGACTCGACACCTGACACTCCCGACAGTTAGTCCATCATTTACCCCCTTAGTCTATAAGAATCACCCATTTCAACCAATAGGATCGCTCTATACTCCTCATGTCTTATTTGTCTATAGCTTTGTCTGTCAATTTCAATAATCAGCCCGCTGGTCACCACCCTTTTCTTTATGTATTGTACTTACATGTCTCATTGCGCCTTCTACAAAAGAAGCTCCAGATTGCACGTGCTTGATGTCTAATTGAAGATTTTGTTGTGTTTCAGACTGACGCGGTTCACCGTTGACACGCTGACGCGGGGACGATGCCGAGCAGTGGGAGTTCGGCGGGTCCGACCTCGGTGGAGGACTCCCGTTCGCGGGCCCTCCCCGGGTCCCCGTTCCACTACCTCCGGCGGGAGTCGAGCTCGGCGTTCGTGCCGGTCCTCCCCGGGCGCGGCCTCCACCCGGGCCTCTACCAGCCCGGCGACGACCTCATGGCCATCATGAGCGAGGAGCGCAACGAGCTCGTCATCCGCGAGGCGGCCGCCCACGCCGCCCACGCCGCTCACGCCGCCGCCGCCATGCTCCTCCCCCACCGCCCTTCATCCCTTCTCGACTCCCTCTCGGGCGCCCCGCCGCCCTCCTACCCGCCGGGCCTCTTCCCGCCGCCCCCCAGCTCCGCCAACCCCTCCGGCTCCTCTAGTTTCTCGCCCTTCGGCTCGTCCTCCGGCATTTTCTCCCCCGGGGCCAACCCCCACTCCCACCTAGATCGCCGCCTTCTCCGCGCCCCCGGCCGGGCGTCGCGACCCAAGAAACAGTTCATTTGTAAGTTTTGCAATCGTCAGTTCACTAAATCCTATAATCTCTTAATTCACGAACGGACTCATACCGACGAACGGCCCTACGAGTGCGATATCTGTGGTAAAGCTTTTAGGAGACAAGATCATCTGAGGGACCATAGGTGAGTTACTTTCCATCATTTTTATATTCAACTATACAAATTTGAAAATAATTAATTAATTGCAGTAAAACCAAAGATCCAGAAAGATCACCAATCCAAAACCAAAGATCAAAACCAAAGATCCTATGCCACGCCAACTGGGAAAATCGTAACACACCAGGAGCAACAATTAGGTTAGGACGAGGATAGTCGGTCTCCATGGTTTCTTATGGAATTGTTAATGAATAACGACTTATATGAAATTCAGATTCAACTGTTTGAAAATATGTGTCTAGATATGAGACTTAGCCATTACGATAAGAATTTTAACGCTAAATTGTTATTTGTAAAAACTCCCGTAAGATCCGATGTAATTAAGGTTATGACGAGAATAGCAATCGGACAGTTCCCTCCCCCACCCGCCTATCGAACGACCGCTCCGTGTGTGTTACGATTTTTCGTAAGCCACCACCAAACTACATTTCCTGTATCGTTGAGTAAAAGAGTTTGTCTTTCAGTTCTAATTGGTTATCAATCAACGATAGTGATGAAAACCCGTCATTGGAAATCATGTCGTAAAAGTCAAACATCTTGGATGTACCTAAGTCAAGATATAATTTATTGCGATGAAACAGCTTCAAAGCCTATCTGACTTTTCTGATCTCCAGCAAAGATATAACAAAACAAAACAAAACAAAAAAAAACAAAAAACTATTTTTTAGAAATATAACCCGGAACCCGACCGGAACATGAAAAATATTGAAAGTTACAATTGAGGAAAAGTGGAGAACAATTAATTTTAAGCTTTTGCGTTTATGTATACCCTGATAAGCACGGAATTTCGCAAACGCGAGTTTGGTCGCCGAAAGGATTAAAAAGAGGATAGAGGAAAAGAGAGTACGGCAAAAGATGTGTTGCTCCGGAGTCCGGAGTGCTAAACAATCGGTATCTTTTATGGGGATTATTTGGCGGCTTACGTCGCCATTTATGGGACGCTGCCTTTTACAGGCATCGAATGAGATTAGGTAACTTGAGCAAATATTTACTGCCCGCAGTTGGCCTGTTTACCACTCCGCACTGTGGATCGCGCAAAAACCACTTCGTTGTAGAAAATGTTGGTTGTTCGCAAAAGTAACTTTGTCGTGAAGACAACCACTGATATTTTGATGTCACGTAAGGAAGTTGCAAGATAATCTCAGTAAAATAAATTTGGCCAGTTTGGCTATATTTGGCCAGTTTTCATATCTTTCCTGCTCCGGCATCTTCACTCAAAGAAAACTGGGCATGGAGAAGGGGGTTCAGATAGGTCTGGACATCCTTCACCCTAGAATTGAAACTTGTCCTAAAAAGGCTCTGTTTTTGGGAGATTTTTAGTAAAAATGTTTACCTGTAAATTATGGAATTCTTGTCTCGCACCATTATAAATGGATTTCTCGCATCAATAATTTTTAAACGATGAGAATGGTTAATGAGAACTTAACTCTTGAGGTTTACATTCTAAACGTGTGTATTGACTTGAGGGTTTCAAAACGCTTGTCCCTGGTTCACAAGTTCAGCGGAACTGCAATATTCTCCAGAAAATACGCTCATCGCGGAGGCAGAAAAAAGTTTTAGGATCATTTTTTTTTTTTTTTTTTTTAATTTCTTCTTGTAGAAAGAGGAGAGAGGAAATGTGCAACTGTATAAACAGTAGTATGTATTGAAAAACAGGCTATAATTTACCATTTGGTATCATTTTCCTGAAAAAAAGAAGAAATATCGTAGCGTGTATACCGTATAATCCAGTGAAATAAGCAAAACTGGGCTAGGATGATCTTTAAAAAATGGTCCTTTCTCTTTCACCAACAATACCCTCTCAGCAGGCTGATTGTTGAAATTGATAGACAAAGCTATAGACGAAAAAGACGTAGGGAGTATGGAGCGATCTCATCGGTTGAAATGAGTGGTTCCTATAGACTTTAAGGGAGAAAATAACGGACTAACTATCTAGTCTCCTATAGGTTGTCGTTAGTTAGTCTATTACCTCTCTCCTTTTCAATGTCAAGCACCCGCTTCCACCAAGAGAATCCCTCCAAATCCTTTCTGTCTCTTCCATCTATACCTTTGTCTACCAATTCCGTAAATCAGCCCGCAGTTCCGAATCTCTCGAAAATCTTTGTTTTGGCTCATTTGGACTCTCGTGCGCCGCTGGACGAAGAATCTTCCGACTCGGATCGTGTTGCCAAAAATTCCAACTTTCGAGATGTCTGGGGCAAGGGATTATCGGTCCACTTAAGAGGAGACGAAAGTGATTAAACTTTAATTTATATGATGGAGAAGGGAGAAATGCAGTGAGGCCCCCTAATTGGATAAAGGCAACCGGGTGAAGGGGGGGGGGGTTACCTGACGCGACGGTCGAATCGGTGGCGTCTCTACCTGCTGATACCGACGGTGTTGCAGAATGTCCAGGTATCAGGTTGAAGGAAACAGTGGCGAAGCGTGAATGATCGAATATCGATTATGGATTTTTCTTCTTTTAAGCTGTGATAAAGAATCGATTACTGAAGTGGTCGTTGCGAACACCCTGTTTATCGATCCTTTTCCATGGTTTAAATGCCAGATCAATCGATATATCGCAAAGTACGCCACGTCACGGGAAGGAAATATCTAAGTGAAAAACTCCGTTGAGAAAGTTGGCATTCGTATATTTGTAACCCCCGCCAATAAATATAAATTCAGAAGGCATATCGAGAAAATTGATGAAATCGATGAAACGTTGCCAAAGTTAAATCAAAGGTTTTTAGGTTAATAATAATGCAAATTGCCTGATTAGAACTACACACACACATACACCCTATCTGATGAAGTCAGACTTAATTCACTTTATCGATAATCGAATCATCTAGCCTTTACCCTTTGGTCATTACAATGAGCATTTGTACAAATTCTATCAGAGAGATTGAAACAGCCCACATTTTTTGGTAAAACGTCTTGCTTATTGTTTTTTTCGTCTTATTTTCCTGATTTCCGAGATTTTGTTGATTTTTTAAAAAAAAATTTCCGAAAGGGATCGATGAAGAATTTTCTAAGGAAACAGAAAACAGTAAAAGCTCACCAAGTCACTGTACTCTGAAAACCGGGGGATAACTATGTATTAAAATACTTTACAACTTTTGTCAAGTTCAATCTTACCGATTTTCAAACCCAAAATTACGTTTCCATCATCGGAGATTCTTGAATACGATGACTGAGGTATGGTGGGATTATTTAATTGAAATAGAACTAGTGATATTGTCATACGGAAACATACATTTTTCAGAGCTTCGTTCTTTCATCCTGATGATCGATAAACAAAAAAATAAATGAAGAGTTTCTCGTCCTCAGATCTGCATTTTTGTTTTTACCAATCAACGTACTTACATATTATTAAGACGATAAATTTGGCAATAGCTGAGGTAGTTTTGAATCACATAGAAATGAAAAGAAGAGTCGGGTCCACGACAGATAGAGGCAGGTTCTTTGACCTTCAGTAGCACCTACGGAGAGAAAGATACCCGAAAAACGGCTACCTTTCCTCAGATTTATAGCCTTCTGCTTCCTTAATCAGGTATCCCACCAATCTTCCTCGATTCGAAGATGATCTCGGGCTTACTCTGTGCCGCCTTGGAAAATATATTTTTAAGGCAAATGAATTTTTTCACTGCTTTTTCAACAAAAGATCGAGTCGCTCTGAGGTTGTATCTCAACATGAATAGGCGCCGGTCAAGATTCACTGTACCTATCTACACCCTCGTCAAAAAGCGTGGGAAATTGAGAGTCGTGAATTTTCTACGAAATAATATCTACGATTTTTTAATTTATATCCCTGATTTGTACGAACTAAAGATAACATGCGTGAGAACTTATTTTCCTTGACTTCACATTTACTACTGTACAATGGCACATTATAATCGATCTGACTCGTTTAAGATACACTAATAATATATAAGGAAATGAATCCTGATTTATTACATACGCTGGCGATCTTATTTTAGGGAAATTTAATTTTTCAATACAAATATTCGGTCCAGGTGATCAAATTTTGAGTAATTTCTCTCAATGACACCTCCGAAATCTACCGCGCTCTTTGTTCTACTCCTGCGTTTAAGTCTCCGGCGAGCTTACATAATTGAGCAAGTTTGTTGCATCTCTAGTATCTGCGCATCCTTGACATTTTTGACATCTGACCTATATCTGTTTGCTGTTGCACGCGTCTATAATTTCTTATATCATTCTATTTCTAGAGGCCTAAAATCAAATAATACATGTTATAGAAAGAAGAGAATATAAATTCTGGAGGTAGAATTTTTCTTACAAATATTTTTTGCAACAAGAAGAAACTTACCTACTGTAAATCTGACAAACCAACTTCGGTAAAACTTCATTGAGTGATGTTTGGACGATGGATTTAATGATAATCTAGGAGGTAAAAATGAAAAAGTAAATTCTTTTTTAATCATTGTGCCATCACCATCATGATTAAAAGTTCTTATAAGTAAGGGCAACTAATGAAATACAAATTCAGTATATCAATACAATTCCTGATTGAAGTCATGCAAAATCCCTTTTTTTCTTTTCTCAATTGAAATTCTTTGGCTGTCAGTGAAGAGGCGTGAACTATTGATTATCGATTTTTCACCATCCGAAGCTATGGTAAAGGATCGATTGTTAAGGTGTTCGTTGCGAACACTTTGCTTATCGATCCTTTTCCATGCGGTTAAATGGTAGATCAATCGATGCATCGCAAAGCACGCCACGCCTCTGTTGTTTGTGTATATTTTACTGAAGCTCTGTCTAGAAATTAAGTCTCGATTTTGAATGTTTGAGGTTCCCATCGCAATCACTCGGTACGACTCAGCAATCAACAGCCCATAACATGAATTATATATTCTCATCGTGAAAATTAGATTCTTAGTACACTGGAAAAGAAAACACATTAGATCTAAAGTCCTGACTCTTGAAAACATTGACAAGAAAAAGGACTCTTGATTCAATCAGATTTG